TTTTTTTTTTTTTTTTTTCGGGGCTCGGAGACCTTGCTTTTGTCACACGGAGAGGTTGATGCAAGTTTTCTTATTGGATTCTTGCAGAAGCGACTGTGCTTTTCGTAAGTGCATGCGCTTGGCTTGCGCAGTTTGTTTTTCCGCTCGGGCAGAGTTATTAAACCGTTCAAAAAGGGTGGAAAGGGCTCGCGAAGAGCGCGGCGTGACAGCGTGTGGTACTTCTGTTGTACTTATGCGATTCCCTCCACTTGAGGACTAGGATGACTCGCTTGGCGCGAGGTGGTGCCGACATATTTTCATGCTTGCTAAGTGTTCAGTCAAGATGTACCTGGTTTTGGTCGCTCCACGATACTTGTGGCTCATGGGGGGAAGAGGATGGGATAGGAGCGTGGAGGATGGCGGAAGGGCAAGGGTCAGTGGGGGGTAGGGAAGAGATGGGAAGAACGTGCGGAGGGGAACGGCAGGGAATGGCAGGGAGGGAGAGGTTGGGGGGACGACCTTGGTGCGAAGGTTGGCGTCTTCAGCTACTTGCGTTCATGTCGCATCACGACTAATACGAAATAAGTTGAAGGTGCACCCAGACAAGGCCCCAGAGGAACTGAAGGCAGGACTTGTCCGGCCCGTGAGAGAAGCCAGTTTCTGTACACAGCTGGCCCAGGCGCGTGCTAAAGCTGCTTTTGAAAAAGTAGAAAAAGCAGCTGCGGTTGTTGAAGTGCTCAGCCAAGATGTTTCCTGTGGGCTTGTTGGCTATGTGCGGATGATGCATCCAGAGGCTTTCTGTGAAACAGACATGGAAGCAACAGAGTGCCTCCATCGCATCCTGCATGCTGTCTGGCGCCCAAAGGTTAAGCCATGGTTTAGCGATCGAAGCATTATCCAGATGTGTGATCTGGCTGTCAGGCTGGGGCTGGGAGAGCTGCCATGTCACGCGCCGCGAGCTCACCCACTCGTGTCGCATAATTAGTCGGCTTTGGATCCATGGACTCCATGGGAAGACGGTTGAGCAGATTGAGCGAATTGCGTGATTGCATGCCCACTTAAATTGCTCCAGGCCATGGCTCTGGAAGTTCTGCAGATCTCTGAAGACTGCAGTCTTGAAGAGGCCAGCCGCAACCGCCCCTTGTTGCCATTGACCAGTTTTGCAGTTGTTGCAAGGCTGGAAAGAAGGGAAGAGCATCATTCCTGGGACAAGTTTTTGCAGCTGTGAGATGAAAACATCAAAGCCGAGGAGCTGAGAGAAACAATCATGAAGCTGGGCATGCTGACCGATGGTAACTATGGACACCCTGACCAGGACTGCCTCCACAGTTTTCTGACTTTGTTGTACTGAACCTTGGGATGTAGGCCGAAGCTGTCCGAATGATAGAAGAAGCAGCAGAAGCTATTGCAGTGCTGAGCTTAGAACACTGTCTGCGTGTCTCCACGCATGATTTTTTCAGAAACAAGAACAGAGAACAGATGATCGTCATCTTGAAAGTCTTTCTTCCTTTTGGTCAGTCGCAGCTCGCAACATCTCTTGGAGCTCATCGGCACGAGGTCGTTTTCACTCACGTTCTTCGATGATCGTGGAAAATCAAAGGTGGATGCCCCTCGAATGGCCTACATCGAAGCAGCACCATGCAGCACCAACCCGTTTAAAGGGCACTGAAGCATTGAGAACATTTGAGATCAGCGTGCAGCAATGGAGCTTCCGAAGTAGGCCTGCCCAACTAGGCGAGTCATGCAAACACGAGGTGAAGGCTACCTTGCCTATAATACGGTGGCCAGTGCAGTGATGCACGAAGCTGAGGAGCCGTCGACTCTCACAGCAAGTAAAGGCGGTGCAAGCTGCGCTCTCATCCGCTTCAGAAGCAGGGTATGGTTTACAGAAAGATCCATTAGATGGGTGCAAGAGTAATGCTCGGCTGCAAAGGCTTCACTTCCCTGAAGCCAGTCCAGGCGCACTGCAGTGAAGATGTCGAGCTTTCTTTGCATGCCGCGCTAACCTTACAGGTCACTCGTGCCCTTGGGTTGCGAGACCTGAAGCTGCCCAGAAAAATTGTGTCATCAGAACCACAGGCAGGATGTGCAGAGAACTTGTCCTGTGCATTTGCAATGATGAAAACGGGCTCAGATTGACGTCATCCAGCTGGAAGCATTGGGTTCGTCGGAAACTGTTCCACCGTGAGTTCTGCACCTCAAAGCATGAGACTTGCACGAAAGGCATCACTTGGTCCTGCTAAGCGCAGCCCTCAGAAGCTATGATGATCAGCCGACCCTTCTCGTTTAGATACTGTGGCAGGTTCTGGCGCAACATCTTTGAGCGACCAGGAGGCAGCCTTGTGAAGTCAGGGCTCGGGCGGCTAGGGCCTCCAGGTGTCAGTTTGTAATCTCCATGGCCAGGTGATTGAGCGGGTCCGTGGCTTCTCGGGCCAGCCCAAGGACAGAGAGAGAGGACAACTTTTGGATAGAGGCATGTCAAGCCTTTGCCAGGCCGCTTCGCTTCTCGTGGCCGCTGATGCAGCAGCCAGGAATGCTGCGTGAGATGCCAATTTTTGGAACCGAGGCTTCCTGCTTCTTTCCTAACAGCTTAAAATATTCAGGCAAGGCATCGCCGGGCCGCAGCGTTTTGGGTGTTGCATCGTCGGCGTGTTCGAGGCTGTTGGACGCAATGAAAGTTTGAACATTTGCTGGCCAGATCATTCAGGTTGGGTCGGGATATGTTGAGCCACCAGCTAAGAAAGCCAAGAAGGACGGTGGTGACAAGGTGGCACCACGCAAATCACGTATGTGGCAAGATCAAAATTTGGATAGCCAAGCTGCCTCTGAAGGTTCGATGCAGACATATACTGCTCAAGCACAAGGAGGGCCTGACTGATTTTTTTGTTCAGCTTGACGCATCTCCAGTCCTGCCATGGAAGCCGGTAAGCACGCAAGGACCTTAAGCAGAAGATGGACCCCCAGGTTGGTGATTTCAGACAGAACACGCTGCCAGCTGGTGACTGGTCAGCTGCAGCTGTTTCACATTGGCTTTGAAGTTTGAAGTATGCCTCCCAGGTTTGTAGCTTGAGTTGAAGAGTTGCTGCAGGCGCATTTAAGGTCCAAGGGTCGGCGGCTCAGCAGTCTGGAGAGTTGCCCTTTGCAGGGCAGTGCTCTTCATGCAGGCTGGATGCACAAGTGCATTGCTCTTACGAAAATAGATGCTTTTCGTAGCTTTTGGCCCGACAGTGAGGACGCATTGCAATAGACTGGCGTGATTAATGGCAAGCACGACGCACGCTACATCCCAGAAAAATGTGAACTAGGCATCCCACAAGGAATCAGAGCCTTCAGACGTCGATTGAGCATCATATGGCATCTGTGCCACTAGCAGATGTGGATCCTGTTGCTCTTCTGCAGTCAGCTTTCTTGTGGTTGTTGACCTGGCTTGCAACACAGGCCAGTGTTAGCACTTAGCAGAGCTCGCATGCGAACAGATTTTCCAAGCGCCCAGTGCATGTTGAGCGAGTCAGAGCGAGCTGCTATCTTTCGGCTTGTTTTGGTTGGTGCTTTGGTGCGGTGTGCTTAATAGGCGTTGACAGTTTGAGTAGCAGGTCTCCTATGAGTTGGCCTGCAGATGCCGTTGGCTCGCATGGGCTGCAGCTCGTGATGAGGCTGTTTCTTTGTCTGGCCCGGATCTAAGAGATGTTTAGAAAACGTGGATGACTGCCAAGCTGCATCTCAGGTGCTGCAGCTACACACTGGGAGGGCCTGTTGCAGAGCGACATCCCTCAGGTGTGGGGGAAGTCTTCCGGGAATCATGATCTCCTCCTTATGTTCAATAGCCGCTAGCATGCTTTCCTTTTGTCTTTCGAGGCTTGCTTCACCCCCGATGGCTTTCGTTCCGTTTAAGTTTGAGCATCACTCAGGTTTGCACGTGTCTTTCCTTCAAAGGAGTGGTCAGCGACAAGAGACTTCGCTCTTCAAGCTATGCGTGCCAAAGCAGAAGACAGGCGGTCAGACGGGATGGAAAGAATGGAGGCCTGGAAGCGTGTAATGGTGCCCGCCGCATGAAGTACTGAACAGCAGGAGCTTGCTGCCATCGCAGCAGGGGTGGCAGGCGCCGGTCAGGTAGCTGACGGCGCCACTTGCCTGCACAACTGGTGTTCGCTTGGTTGCCAGACCCGTGTTGGCATGGTGGTTAGCACCCTGATCTGTCTGGTCCGCTATGAAAGACAGGTCCCTGATACCTGCCTCGCTCGCATGGCTGTTCAGTTCCGTGGCTGCCAGATGTGATTTAAAAACTGAACCTTTAAACTGTGCTTCATGACCGCAAGATCTTACCAGGCTGGGTTACTATTGGTGGCACACATCGAATGCCGATACCTCCAAAGCAGAGTGCTGTCTCTCGCTTGCGGTGCAGTCATTCCATGCCTCTCACTGGCGCCTTCCAGCATGGCGAGGGGTCAACCTAGGAGGTGCAGAGCTTGGAAGCTTTGTCTTTTGCAAGCTGCTTGCAATGCTTGGTGCAGGTTGGTTACTGCTGGAGCCCGGGCCGGCATCTCCTTTTTTTGACGTATGCTATGCTGGATGCCAAGACTACACCGGAACTCGGACACAAAGAGGCCGTTTGATAGTCCAAACTTCAGGCCAAAATTGTGGAAGTGTCCTCGAAGCGCGTTGAGGAGCCTTGAATGCAAGCGGCATGTTCGGTTCATGCGTTCTTCAGGGCAAAACGATTTGCATCTCGTGTGAAGAGACATGAACAGGATGCCGCCTTGTCGGGCACGAGAGAAAATCCCCCTGGCCTGGGTGATGAGTACTCTGTCTGTGCTGCTCTGCAAGCGGCGGGTGGAGATGAACTGCGGAGCGCTTGCATGCGCTCGTCATTTTCCCAAAGGTAGTTTCTAGTTTGATACGTTTCAGGAGGCAGCTCTTCCAGTGGCACCGCTCGCATCACTACACAGCAGCCTGTCCGCACAGACAGCTTAGGGACGCCTATCTTCCAATTAGGTCACACCCAGAAGCCTTGCGGTGGAACTTATCGACTGAAGGCTACAGTATGTAGAGCTTACGCGGGCTCGCAATGGCTCGCACAAGCTGGAGCAGAATCTCCTTAAGCCCCGGGAACATTTGGAATCGCTCGCTCAGCATCCCTTGCCTCCTGTTTGGTCTCGGGATTGCCTTGCCCGACTCCTATGTACCTCGCCTCAGAGGTGCAGTCGTCCATGCACACGTTTGCACGAGCCTGCCCATTCGGTGGGATACATGCCGCACCAGTGGCACAAGTGAAGACAAACGAGAACTCTTCATCAAATTTGGGATCCAGCCAGGGTGGCATTTTGTTCCCATTGAATTTGCTGCCTGTGCTGAAAAAGGCAAATGTTTCCTAAGCTATGCGCTCAATGCTGCCAGTGATGTGGGTGCGACCATTTCCTGGGGCGCGTCCCTGTTGAGGTGGCATATTCGGATTTCTTGCTGTGGATAGTCCTCGGGCTAGTGCTTGTTTTTCAGTGCAGAGCCCTCGATTTGAAGGGAAACAGGCAGGACGGTTTGTCTACAATTTGTGCCGCGGCAAAAAGTGCTCTGCCATTGAGAGGCCAAAGTTGCTAAGGTGCATGTATTCTGCGCGGTTCTTGTTTCGATTGTGTCTTTCCCAGCTTGAGAAGTGTGATAATCATGGAAGACTTAGGGGCACATTCTGTACAACGCCTTCGATCCAGTTGCACTTGCTGCGAGAGAAAAGCTTTCCCAGGACAAAACATTTCTTGACATCGCGAAGACGGGCTTGAATGCAGTGCGCATTCCCTTTGGGCACTGGGTGGTGAGCGGGCCAGGCCGGCCCAAGTTTTGGGAGTGCTTCGACCAAGGCAACTTGATAGTTTGAATGTATTCATACGAGCCAGGTCATGGAGAACCTTATGACGGTCCCTGTTGCTTGCTGAGATTTCTTCGCTGCTTGTGCTGGACTTTCAAGAGCACGGTCGCCTCATTTACGGCATGTTCTGATTCCGGATATTCCGGTTGCCGACACTTCCCGCAGCATCTTCCTACACGCGCTATTAATATTCAGCAGTCATAGTCACAATTGTGCATCCGCAGAAGTGGTGGATTCAAGTAATGAACGAGCAAAAGACCTTTTGCTCCCAATTCATACGCCGCATTGCCAAACAATACAGTAGCTGCAGCCCAAAGCCGTGAATGCCAAACCGAAGTCCCCAACCAAGAACACCTGACCGCGTCTTCACTGCGCATGCTCGAGAAGTATGCTCAAGTTGGTTTTCATGCCCCAATCCAGACAGCACGTCCTGCTTGTAAAGGTGAAACCTGATTTGTTTCCCCCCCCCGTTCAAGCAAACCTGGATCCTAGCTTTACATTCAATTCAATAGGCGGGATCGGGATCAGCTCAGGCACTGTAAACTTCAGAAGGGTTTCAGAAGACATTCAGAAGGGTTTCAGGAGTTCAGAGTGATTTCAGTAAGGTTTCGCTTTTACAACCAACAATTTTTTATTCTACCGCCCTATTCTTAACAATATTTAGGGCCGCGCAACTTCACACAAATCAGCACCCCCGAACGAATCGAAGGGTGCTACATAATGTGGCAGCAACTTGGCATGAGTACTCGAGGAGCTGATAGTTGGTTCATGGTTGTTCGTATGTGCTGTGCACCTTGCTGGCCTTTGGAATGTCAATGCCCAGAGGCAGCACCTCTGTTTTTGCAACAATTAAAAATGGAGGTGCCTAGTACCTCACAACATAGCACTACCAACACAAGCCAAAGCCAAAAGCCTGTCTGCCACCCTGCCTGCTGGCAGCTAAATCCGAGACAGCCCTAGCCACATCAAACTACGTCATGCTATGTTCATAGTACCATGAGGCATTTTCATATGTCATTGTTTGATGCAGTTGTTGTTGCAGGAAAATAATGGAAGAGACTCGTTATGACTTGTTTTTCCTGGGCTGCGCATGTTTCAAGAAAGAGCACCGACTTCCCAACAGTAGGAAGTGGCTTAAAGGCGCAGATGTTGCAAATGCACCTCGCTTGTCCCTGCGACAAGAGCATTGTCAGGCCAGCACTTCCTCAGATGGTTATTCGCTTCGACGGAGTAATCCTGTGACATGGTTGAAGAGTTTGAGGTTCCGACTCGATAACACTTGCGTCCTGGTTCGCATGAGATGTGGTACCGGTATGTACCGGATTGTACAGGTCGGGTCATAACCCAGGCCCAAGAGCTCCCCTCTTGCAAGGGCCTCTCCTTGCCTCAAAATTCCACACAACCACCTATCAGCACCTGCTTCATCCGCTTGCCCTGCAATTGCGGTTGGGGAGACACAGGATGTCGAGGTTCCCGCTAGTCCCAGCAGACAAAGCAAAGAGATTTGGGGCACTGCCCATCCTGCTAGTCCTCTGCGATCCTCTGCGTATGCTCCGTTGTTCAACGTCACTCCTCTTTCCCCATACGAAGGCCTTACTACTGCACATCAAAAGCCACTGCATCTGTAGTAGAAAGATTTTCGAAGATCGACAAGTACGCAGCCCTGCGACCTCCCTGACCACTCTTGCCTTGGCCATCCTGTTGAGAGTCGTTGCATCCCTTTCCTTTCAACAGTTCCAGTTTCATCATCCACGTTCTTCTTGCCTTGCGGCCTCGCGATAGCGCATCAACAAGGTCCATTGCCTCTTCGCGTTGCGATTGTTGGGGTTCAGACTCGTTGGGTTAGGCCTTGGTCCTTGAGTAGCTTCACAGATATCCTTGGTGGTGCGTGTCTGCGAACTGCAAACAGCGACGCATGAACGGTCTTGCCGCCTTGCGCAAGTCACCAGCCTCAGCTATTCATACCTTCCGATCCCCCAGTGAATTGATTGTGCAGGGCTGGAGTGTTCTGGGATGTGTCGGACTCGATGTTTTTTCCAGCAAGCCCTTAAACCCTAGAGCCTTGGAACATCACCTGCTGCTAGAGCGTGTGGCACGCAATTAGCACGAGTTATTTGCTGGAGCGGGGCTGTTTGCGAACAGAACTCGCAAAGTGCATTGTTCACTGCACGATTAGTTCTGCAACCTACTGATAGCCTGCCCCTATCTGAGCACAGCGATGGCTGAGGTTTGGAGGTGTTGGACTCAGCTATCCAGCTGGCCGAAGCCCAAGGACTGCAAGTCCTTCTAGATCCATGTCTGAATACGGATGGGTATGGTGGGCAAGCAGGTGTGGCCGATGTGGCGAGGGAAGGAAAGCCTGTACGCTTCAGCCATGTTGAGTTTTTGACGAAGTTAGAGTCTATTCCTAGAGAATTCTCTGCCCTCAGCTGGGCCACCTGTCATCATGTTTCATCTCTGAGCAGCCGGTGGCACCGACTTGCATCCTGACTGTCCCCACACAGCAGGCCCGGATTGCGTTACAGGCTTTAGCACCCGCATTTGCAACTTGAGCAAACTTCACCAGGCCCTGGACGTATCGTAGCGTAGCAGCACAGTCATCATGCTGGAGATCCATGATCCCATGCTACGCTCCTTCGTCAAGTAGGGGACGATCATTTGCTCGGGGCAGTGTGGAGTCATTCATGCCATCCATGATGTCCGCATAGATGAAAGCTGGCCACGTCACAGGTGTTTGTTTGCCATTACAGTCCGAGAACAAACACTGAGACCTGAGGATCTTCATGGAAATCCTGGGGGTGAAAGTGGGAGCCGCCCCAGTGGCAGAGAGTCTTCCTTGTGGCGTTGGCAAGACTGGCGCCATGATGAGGCCGCAACCCCGTCGCAAAGCACCGCTGGCTGTCATGTTCTAGGAAGAAAGGCAGTTGAGATGCTGCGCCTCATCGCAGTGCGATACTGCGACAAGTCCTGCGTGACCGGAATACAGGCCAGAGGAAGCAGCTTCGGATCACTCGTCTTCCACTGACCTACGTGCTGATAGGTTTGTAATGAACCTTCTGAAGCCATTCCAGCTGACAGGCAGGTCTCAGTTTCTTGACGGTAGTGGGGAGGCATGTATTCGCAAGTTGGTTTGACTCCTTCCTGGAGGCTTTGTGACTTCTACGAAAAGGCTATCGAGGCCAGACCAGGATCAGAAAAAACATGTGTGCTCCGTTCCAGGGGTACTAATACTATGATTCTGCCTCGGGTCGGGTCCTGTAAAGGCTTACGTGCCTTTCCGCGAGCCCGCCATCGCTGCAATGATGCTTGCAGGGGTACTGTATGCGGTCCAAGTCCGTGCGTGTAGGTATTTCCTGTTGTGACGTCTTTGGGCCAACATGCAAACTTCCCACGAGGATCTAGTAGTAGTGGATTGGGGAACCGACGGTAAGGAAGTTCTTCTACCACCCTCGTGTCATACGTTCACATAGTTGCACGCGGAAAGGTCATCGGCAGGGCAGACATCGTTCTTTGTGGTTGTTGCTGGGGGAGGTGGCTTTGATCTGACAGCAGAGGTCTCAAACAGTCCTCAGGGCTGGAACAATGATCAGAGAAAGCATGAGAACACTGCCTGGGAACAGTTGTGTAATGTGAAATGCTTGGGGACCGGGACCGATGAAGGTTTTAGGGGATCAAGCACACACAAGCGGCACAACAAGGGTTGACGGCGAGCAGAGCAATGTGAGGCCATTCGGTCTGGTGGCATGGGCCCAGACAAAGTTGCAGTGGTGCAGCATGGCGGCAGAAGGATACGCTCATTGATTTGTGTGTCCTGTGTTGCACTTGCTGAGGTTGCCAATCTTCACCCACTGGCGGGTGAAGGAGGTCATCAGCTGTTGGCACTCGCGCGGAAATTGCTTCAGATTCGACAACGTTGCGTAACTCGATTGTGGTTGGGCTACAATGCGCAGAAATGCCAGCAGAATCAACAATGCCCAGGTTTGACATCCATTACTACCATGACTTCTCAGCCATATGGCGACTTTTGCCACACAACCGCCATGTTGAGGCCAGGGCATTGCAGCGCGTGCAGCGCCAGTGTGTAAGACGCTCCGTACATATTGCATCTGCAAGGTCGTCGCAGAGCATGCCAGGGAATTGAAGCTACTTCCTGGCTCTTTGGTGGGGGAGTGGAGCCTTTCAAGGCCTGGCTCATGTGCTGTTGAAACCTCTTTTTGGGATTGTACGTGATTGGCATTCAACACGATTGAAGGAGCTGCTGCTCAGTTCTCTGGGCAAATTTGCAAGCCAAGTAGTCACTCACGGGCCTGGTCACTTCCAGATGTGTGGGGTGGATCTGACCTTGGTGGGCCCCGCGCTGCCTCGGCATGAACACGGTTCCCAGACCATGGTGCACATGGTTCATCGCTCACATTGAATACTTGTCCTTAAGTAATGCTGCAGGCAGCCCCTCACCCGCTTATACCATGCGCGGAATCCGTCACAACCATCTGATGTGTCATTACAGGGAAATGCGCCTGCAGATTGGATTTGCATGCAGGAGGCCATCATTAAGACTCAAGCTCATATGCAAGCCTTGGAGCTACAAGCTTTCAATTCAGGCCGGGAGCCTCGCCCCAGGGTTCTATGTAAGAAAAGTCTTGCAACACTGGGGCTGCAGAGACCCTGGTAGGTTTCCGCAGAACTCCATATTGCACATAGAACCTTGAAACATGGGAGTGTCCAGTGGAGGCCAGACAATCTGCGAAATAATGAAAAGCATTTGATAGTTTACGCTTGTTCCAAAAGAAATGGTCTGAGTGGAGGCCTGGAGATTTCTCAGATGAAGAGAAGGCAGACTTTGCTCACAAGCAGGTGGGAAAGACTTAAGTGCGAGAAAATGATAGGCAACCGGTGCTCAAGCTTGATGCGTGCTACTCCAGGTGCAGGCCTACAACCACTCCAGTCATGGATGGTCCGTCTGGCACTCACTCGACCTCAGCGCGGGGCCTGTCGTTCAAAGCCAGGTTCTTCTGGAATTGGCATGACCATGCCGCGAAGTCAGCATGAAAGGGATCGCAGGGCTGAACTCAAGAGGACTGCGAGCTAGGAAGTTTGCAAGTTTTTTTTTGCTCAGGACTTCTATCCCGACTGGGACTTCGAAAGAGGAGTTCTCGGCTCCAAGCTGCCGCATGTTCTCGGCCGGACGGAGCTCGAGGCACTGCCAGTACCACAGATTCATGTGTCATCGCTGACATGAGCGGCCCCTGTCAGACCGTTTTGCATCCTGAGTGGGAAGGGCATGGCGGCTGACCCAGGCTTGTTGACTACTTGTGACTCATGAACATGTTTTGCTCATTCCCGAGGTTGGAAACTTGTACCGAGCCTCAGCCCTGGGGTTTGGATCGACAGTCAATACTCGCAGATCAGGTGCGCAAGGTGCGCACAAGACTGCAGGCACTCCGCTTCCGACGTTGTGGCCGCGTCTGATGGGATGGGCGAGCACACTCAAGGATCTTTTCGGTCTGTAGTCTAGCACGCATGCACTTGCAGAACATTCTGCAGATTGCTGTCCATATAGCAAGCCACCCTTGTAAAGTTCAAGCCTGTGACTTCCATGGACAGCAGCTAAAGAAGACATTCAGGGTCAAAGGCATCCTGTCGACAGTTTCACAGAACCATTTGGCAAACAGTAGACCCTTAGCTGACAGTCACATTTGCTGGGTGGCGGAGTTCTGCGGCAAGACACACATCAAGCCCTGCAGCAGCTAGGAAGAGCTTGCTTGTCCTCTCAGGTCCGATCACCCGCCCTCTGGCCCAGGCTTGGAAGTTGCAAGAGTTGTGCTTGTGGTTGTTTTGCCTTGGAGCATCTAGCATGGGGATACACTGCTTCATGCCACTGAAAGCATGGCGAATGTGAAGTAGTCTTGGGAGTCGAAGCAAATTAGTCCTTGCTGCTGATGAGCGACTCCAGCGGCCCAAGTAGGCTCACATCTGCTGTGACATCGATGTATTGTAAGCTTGCTTTAGGTTCCCTTTTGAGAGTTATGGTGTGGCTGCGAACAGCTGCGCGCTCAACTCTGCAATGTGAGGAGGCATCAGGCACGTGCACATCGCAACACCAAGACCAAATTGTTGCTGTCCTACAAACATCGTCTGTGATGGACCTTCGTAGGTTGATTCTCTCCTGTGGGCTCAGTGTGAGTGACTGCATTGAGAAGACTGACCTTCAAGAACGTGCCTGGGAAGCGCTGACGAGGAAGTCACAAGGCCAATGTTTGGCGCAAAGGTGGGTGGAATCACCGGCTCAAAAGCAAGGTAGACCCACTAGGTCACAGTCAGCACGGTTGAAAAAGCGGTTTATGACTCAATTCAAAAGTGACCGGCAGCCATCGCGTGGATCAGCAACACAGCCTGGAAGTCTGCAGCTGACCTTGCTCCCGTATACGCCAGGCCAGGCCTCCAAGGCGCCAACTGTGGTTTTGCAGAATCTCATTCGGCATTTTGGCTTGTCCTCGTCGGGCCTTGCTGACAAAGCAGAGCTTGTGCAGTATGCTTTGCAAGCCCTCAGGCAGCCTAAGCCTTTCCCAAAGCCTCATATGATTCGCTTCAAGGGGCACATGGCGCATGTACTGACCCCAAAACGCCCGAGGATGACGAAAGCGCTGCCGCTGCTAATTGTACTCCATGGAGCTGGACGCAGCAAGGAGAGCGTTGATGGATTCGTTTTACCGTTCTCAAGAATCTCATCCCGGCAAAACGCCCTGGTTGCCATCCCGATGTCGCTTGACAACACATGGGACTTGAGAGCAGCTGTGGCGACAGGACAAGCTTCAGCAGACACCGCCTTCATCAGTCACATCATTGACTGCCTTATGCGCGACTACCGTGTCGATGCTGGGCGGATTGCACTCATGGGCTTTTCAGATGGCGGCTCCTATGCACTAAGCCTCGCGGTCTCTAATCCTGGTGTCTTCCAAGCAGCGATGTCCTGGTCAGCTGGATATTATCAGAATGCACCTGTTGCGTCTGCAGCTTCATCCTCTCTGCCACATATTTTTCACGCTCATGGCCGGGCGGATGAGTTGTTCAATTTCGAAAAGGTGGCCTTGCCAATGCGCCGATCGCTGAGAAGCTCTGGACACAATGTCACGTCACACAATGTGTTGTCAGCCGGCCACAGCGCACCGTCAGACTTTGCCAGTTTGGCGGTGGGATGGTGGCTAGACCTCCCAGATGTCAAAAAGCAAAGAAGTCAGACACATCTTTCTCATGTGAGCGGGTGCGATGGATGACTTGGTCAGGCTGAGCGCGAGCTAATGAGGCTCAAGGCACGGCCGGCACGGTTGCTCATGGCATTTCGCATGCACGGATGAGGGCTAGTTGAATTTCAGGAAAGCCTTACAAAGGATGCCAGCCAGTTCGCGACCAAGCTCAAAGGGCTTCGAATGCCAGGATAGAGTTGTATCGGAGCAGTAACGGGGCTTTTGCTCTGAAGGTTTCCAGCTCTCGCCCGCAAGCATTCTGAGTGCAAGTCGGCTCTGCAGCCGGGACAGATGGCCGGAGACCTGGGTCTACAGCTCAGAGTGACACAAGCTCATGCGAGGCGTTTCTTGATTTTTTGCATTGTGCTCAAAGCCAGGATGGATTTCCAAGGGCAGCCTTGGAGATGCAGCCTTGGAAGATGTTGTGCTTGCTCTGGAGGCGCGCTATGGCGCGCTCACAGCCTGTGACATGCTGTGACATCGCCCATCCTTGACCAGGTAAATGAGCTAAGCGATTTGGTCACCACAGCGCGTGGTGTGCATCTTGTGCAAAGATATGCCTGACAGCTCAAAGGGCTAGTTGATGTACGGAGCGGGGCTTTCCCATCTCGGACCTCACCGGCTTGGACTAAAGCTTCGGCGACACTGCTGTTGCCGGACCAGCCAGCCTGTGTTGCTAGCAGCGGGTGCCTCGTGCCTTGTGCTCAAGACCAACTCGAAGTCAAGGACCTGCGCTGGCAGTGGAAAATTTGGCCTTACGCACGCAGGCTTGCAGAAATGATCATGGACCTTGCCCCTTCAGAGAGCTACTTTCGCACGGAATTATCCTGCAGATGCATTGATAAAGATGTGTGCAGTTCAGGCTGTGCATGTACAGTACGGTGCCTTTGGCGCGAATTTTGCAGGCCCCGGCGCCGACGTAGTTACAGGTCCTTGCAACAATGAGATGCGGTTGGTATCTCCTCAAGAGACTCTCTTCTCACAGCGATGTAGAGGGGAAGGCCAACAAGGTGGCTGTGGAGCTGAGAACATGGCGGCCGCACTCTCAAGTCTTGAGGTGTCACATGGTAGCTCCCACAGTACGGTTTGAACTGTGCAATGTGCGCTTCAGATGAGGCACTCGGATGGAACTACCTTCCCTCGGCGGCTTTGACACATTGGCGTAGAGATGCACCGCCGTGGTTGCGGAACTTGTGCTCAGCATTTCCTTGAAAGGTGGCGACCTGGCTCCAGCCAAAGGCAGCTTCTCTGGCTTTCTGGTTTTGTACTATGCCTTGTGGTGATGCAGGACTGTCACCTCCATGCCCAGCGGGCGGCTTTTGGTTACGCGAGTTTTTGTTTTCTGGCAGAGTCAGTACTACACCCAGTTGCCGAGATGTGCTACTGCTGAGGATGGAAAGTGCTGTCTCTCAAATGCTTGCCGGCCTGCCTTGCATCGCTCCCAGCCGAGAAAGCCGGTCCGGCGATCATCAGCCAACGTTGATCTGCAGCTTGCGAATGATAAAAGGTGCTGGGCGTGCACAGGCCAGGCCAGCCTGCAGGTCAGCAGTGCAGATGAGTTGTCAACATAATGACAGGTGGATGAGCTGCTCTTGCTGGCTGGAATTCCGGCAAGTCGAAGGTCGCCAGCAATGGCACCAGTCAGAGTCACAGTGCCAGAGCTGGAGGCGGACAGGAAACTATCCTTGCGTTGGCTTGTCTCAGGTTGTGCAGATGGCAAGGCGGCAGCACCTCAAGGTTTGTAAGCCCAGCCGATTCTTGTGTGGGCGGCATGTGATCAAGGAGTGGATGGTGGTCTAGGACGTAGACTTGCCAAGATGGAGGCACTTTGTGTAGAGGTGCTGCCTTTTAATTCCTCTTGAGGCAATGGAAAGGAGTAAAGTATTCCGGAAGCAGGCCAGCCCAGATCTTGACACGATTGCGCAGCTATTGTTGGTGTACGGATAGAGCAGTCCTGTTATCCAGATTGCCAAGAAGACTTGGTCTCCGTCCTCGCTACCTGTACTTCGTGAAGGTAGGAGTGCCACTTGGATGCTTCAGCACTTGCGGTGGTCTGCTTGAGGCGTCGAGTTGGAAGCCGTGGACGCTCTGGAAATTGAGAGTCCAAGCCTGTGCCTCAGGCCATGAGCTCTGGCGTTGCAACTTCATTGCTGACAGACAAACAGAAGCTGATACAGAGTGTGGTTGGGGCGACTTGCAGGGCGTGTCAAGCTCAGGTAGAGCACGAGCATCGGCACTTGACAAACTCCAGATGTATACGCTCCAGGCCCTGCCAGGCCAAGGGCCTCCAGCAACGAACAGCTTCGGGGAGACAGGACCACACTTCCCTCAAACACTCGCAGGGATCCAGAGAAAGCCCACCTTGCCGAGGCCAACTTGGTAGCTTCCAGACGGGAATATCTTTTTGAATACATTTAAATTTAGATACGCGATTACTGTGCGCTACGGGCTTGGGCTTTCGTTTTTTAGGCCCCGGGCCAGGCCACCTCCGCCTCCGCCTCCTGCAGTGCCATCCCCACCGCACTGGCCAAAGCCCATGCTTGTTTTGTGAACTTTGCTACTTGGCACGACTCACCAGGCATGACCCACCTCATCATGCAATGCGCCAAAGACCCACGCAGGCAGGCAGGATTGGTCTGAGGATTTTTTCTATATCTCCTCCCTGATTCTGTCTGAGGTCCGTCGAGCCATGGGAAAGCATGCTCCATCGGATGCGTTATGCTGTCATGCTTGCAAGAGACCAATGGGCTGTCCGAGCTGAAGGTAAGTGGATTAGCTTGTTCGAGGTATTCTGGGCTTTAGGCTGGTGCGCTACTTGCTCCTCACATTAGTACAGCTGTGCATGGTCGGGCTTGAGTTGGACGACTTGATTCATTGCTGCGGCAGCTTGTATTTGCACGGCCGATCTTGTACAGAAGCGCCAGGCCTGCTCTGACCACTGTGTCGTGCAAGGTGGAAGCCAGTTGAACATGCCTTTCCGTTGTCAACAAGGGTCACCATGTGCTCGGGCACCATGCAGGCCGAGACTGTCCGGGTCATGTGCTGAGAGCTCTTTGGTGTCATCCTGCCGTGTGTCTTCGCAGGAGGCATTCACAAAGAGTAAGTGTGCATGAATGAGTTGTCAAGGGAATGCTGGAAACCTTTACTGTTTGGCTCGACGAGTTCAGTCCACGCCACTTGCAGGCACCGCTAGCCGGTATCAACATGTCTGATGCGCACTGCATTCGCGACTTGCCGACCGTGAAACACAAATTCCTGCAAAACTGGCAGGTTGGTACGGGCGCTGCAAACTCCACTTCCTCAAATGATGGGCGGGGCCCGCTTCTTACCCGAAGCATAGGCAAACGCAGATATGCGCAAACCATCAGCTCTCGTGCCCGCTAAGAATAGTTGGACATGTCCATCCTGACACTTGGCCAAGCGGCGCTTGGCATGAGGTTGGCCGCTGCATGACGGACATGGTTTGGTGACTTGTGCAGCTTGAGAAGGCCATTTTGTCAAATGCAGTCATGGGAGATTTCCGTGCCATTCTTGCCTGCAAGGATGGATGCCGACGGCCACAATTGGATCGCGAGCCTCCTACACAAACTAATTTTGGGCGGCTGAGAGGGGTTCTTGTTGATCAGCCCTTGCCAAAAGCTGATTCACAGGCGAGAGTGCCGAAGCATATCAGAAGTGAATGAGTAGACGGGCCTAGGCAGCTAATTTCTTAGGAGCTGTTTGCTCCAAGCGAGCCTGGGCTGCTGGGTGTTCTCAAAGTGCATCCCAGACAGATATGGAACCTTTTCTTTAGTCCTTTGCTTCACAGAGGGATCCCCTGATAGCTTGCGGCCGATGGCGACGTTCTGTCATGAGTGTCTTGTACCCTTAGAGGTGACTGCGACGCCTACAATAGGTGCGCAAGTGCATGATATTTTCCTTGCCGACTGTTGCCACTGCACAGTCAAGTGGCCAAGCTGCATGACATCGTGGCTGGCTCCGCCTACAAGAAGGGAGCAGTTAATGAGACAGCGGACATTTGGACATTTGCTGCGAGTTTGAGAGGAAGCCTGTCCTGCCTAAGATTTTGCTGCGTCTGTTGATTGTCCTAGCCAAGCATGCTCGGGTGAACGTACTTTGTGCAAGCTAGGCTCAAAGACTGATTACCCCAAAGGGGGCAAGGTCTGTTCTCTAGCGAGGCTGTGCTCTGAGCTGTGTGAAGCTGTGGATTGTGTCAGAAACAGTCTGCAGCAGCCAATTGCGTCTCACATGGAATTTGGATGTGCTGATTGCTGGCTAGCTGGTAATCAATGCGTCAGGCCAGCGTTGATGTCACATGGCTTCTTTGTGTTCGACCCATTCTCCTGCCCGGAGCTCAATCAGCTCCGTTTGGCTGTTCGTTTGACGTTGTTTTTTTCCTGCCTCCCAGAGATTGCCCTCACCGGCACTCATCCATGCCTACTTCAGTCTTATTTTTGTTATGATCGGTCAGGTTGACCTGGTTTCAGGAGTTTGGCGAGTCTTGACGCAAACATTTTGTCGCTTGTTTCCTGTCTGTTTGCCTGTCCAGTCAAAAAGCAGCAAATATCTGGAGGGTTTTGCTCTCTCCCTCTCTCGCTCTCTCTCTCTCTCTGTCTCTGTCTCTGCCTATCTATCTCATCATCACCTGCCCGCTCTGGAAGTAGCAGCATCCTAAGCGAGAGCCGTGCGCGAAGCAGAAAGACTCCCCCTCCCCCTCGCTCTCTGTCTCTCTTTCTATCACTTTCACCAAAGGAGGAATGCTTAAAAGAAAGAGGAATTGTGGGATCTCATGGAATCCTTTCTTGTCAAAATCAATCATCTTCAGAGGTTCTCCTTCTTGTTTTGGTGTGGTGTCTTTCCTTGCTTTCACCATTCTGCTTGCTGCCTTTTGTCTGGCGTTTGAGGCGGTTCGTTGCTTTTTGCTTTCGGCTTTTCTCGTTTGTTTTTGTTGTTGATCAATTGCCTTCTGCTTGCCGCATTTGCTTTTTGCCTTCGGCTATTTCTCTTGCGCTTTGGTTGTCTTGCTTTCTGCTTCTTGTCTGTTGCGTGCTTCCTGCTTTTGCCTTTCGCCTTCTGTTTGTGGCGTTCTGCTTGGTGCTTTTTGTTGTCTGCTTTGTTGTCTGCTTTTTGCAGGCTGTTCTTTTGCGTATTGCTTTCTGTTTTTCCCTGAATCTTATTGTTGGGCAGCGGGTTGGTGGCATTTGGTGGCCCCCGATTCTTTTGTAAACATGAACCTGTACCGTGTCTAATCGTGAAGACCCAACAACAACTACCACATTCTTCTTCAATGATTTGCAAATACATGGTCTGCGCCCCATTGCCCCCTCGCTTTTTAAACATGAGTTCGAGTCATGTCTAATAGTGAATCCCCATCAGCAACTGCCACATTCCTCAATGGTTTGCAAACGGGGGGTCTGCGCCGCGCCCGCTCCCCCGCGCTCTCCCCCGCTGTTTTCAAACATGAGTCCTAATTATCATACTCCCAACCCCGCCCTCCACCCTTTTTTAAATATGATACCATGTCAGTTCTAACGGCGAAGCCTCAACAACAACTATACCACATTTGGGGGGGGCTTACCCCCCGCCTTTTTTGTAAAATGAGCCCATATCACGTTTAATTTAATTAGCGAATCCTCATGAACAACTGCCGCGCTTCACTGGTTTGCAAATGAGGGGCTAGGCCCCCCAACCCCCCCGCTTTTTTGTAATCGTGAACAAGTCTCATGCTTGATAGTAAAGTCTCAAGAACAAGTGCCACATTTTTCAATGGTTTGCAAATGGGGGGCTGCCGCCCCCCAACCCGGCGCTTTTTGGAACAATGAACCAGCATTCTGTTCCATATTGTCAGATTTGAATCCTCAACACACGATGGTTTGCAAAAGGGGTTTGCACCCCCGCTATTTCAAAGCATGAGCCCGGATCATGTCTTATGAATAGTGAGTTGTCATCAAGAACTGCCACATTTTTCGGTGGTTTGCATAAGGGAGGCGCCAAACCTCCCAGATTTTGTCAACATGCGGCCGTATCATGTCTAATAGTGAAGCCACAAGAGGCGCTGCAAGAGCAAGTCTTGCTGGAGCTCTTCCGGAGGGTTGACTTCAAGCTTAGTTTGGGGGTTCAGTTTTTCTTAGGGCTGATGCTGGCCTTTTTGGGGCTAGTATTGATTCTGTCAATAATCATATGTGACGGAATCTGCTCGTAAGCTCACAAGTTTGCTTATGGATCGCTTGGCTTCCTTGCGCACGGTATGAGTGATATCATGCTTTGTAGCTACGGCAAACTTCCCATACTCCTATATTGTTCAATATCATGGCATGGTCGGACCCCTGCTGGGTCCGGGTACGAGCAAAAGAATGCCTCGGTGTTTGCATCAAAGAGTCGCATTGAATCTCCCTGCGCCCATGGTGTTCGCTACCCTTGCAACGACATGATACAAACGACAGCATGCTACTAGTTGCATTGCTGTGAACTACCACTGCATGGTCAGTTATGGCACAAATACCATAATGTTTCAACCTCCCCAGTCTTTCTGAAGCGTTGACTACACTGAGGTGTCATACTGAGGGTATCATCATGCTGCTGGCATCAAACCTTCCCATGTGTGGTCATGGTACGAGTACCATCATGCCTGGTGACTGGTGGTCGCATCAAATCTCCTACTTCTGTAGTGTTTGTCACTAAGCAATTAATGTCATGATACGAATGGCTTTAGGCTTGGTGATTGCCTCAAATCTCCCCACTCTGTGGTGTTCACTGCCGTTGCAAGTTCATGATACGCCGAAATCATGTTGTTGATTGCGCAAAACCACCCTACACCCCCCGTAGTGTTCCACCACTGCCCTCATGGTCACCTCCGTACTCCTGTGGTGTTCACTACACTGTCGCGGTCATTGTACGAATACCATGAGGATTCTTGTGGCGGTTAGATTTCTCTGCCTCTTTTATAGTCGAGTGCAGCTCTCAAGAGCTGGCTAGCTTTCAATTGCCTCGGCTTGCACTTCAAATTTGTGTAAGAGGATGCATCAGTCCAGTAATTGCACGGCGCAATGTGAGCCATAGACTAAACCCCTTAAAGGGGGCTTATATAATATAGGGGACTACTATCGGGGTCATGAAGGGGATGCTAGGAGTTTAGACTAGCTCACATGGCAATACGCGCAAGATTACTCATTGGGACCTATGCTCAAGGAGCAGGGATGTGAATTTCAAGAACAGACATGCCTGGTAGCGTCATATTCCCTAAAGACGCCGAATTTAGCACATCTCAATACCTGAGCTGCCCCATATCATGGATAACCCATGCAATCGCAAATCGAAGTTGGGAGAGAACAATAACTCCGGTTGATGACTGCCTGTACTATCGCATGTACTGCACTTGTTGCGATTGTTACAGGCGCAGCACCTATGACAGTCTCATTGCAATTGTTAACTTCGCAATTTATGTCCTCAGATGATTGCAATCCTTTATCGCGAATATGAAGAAGGGTTTTCACTGTGGTTTTCGGTGAGTGTGAAGTTGGGAGACCATATGTAGAAAACATAGGCCATATCATGTTGGCACCACTCTTTGCCAAGCTGCTACAAACATGGCAAAATGGCGCCTCAGCTGAAGGGACAGCATGCGAGAATGGAGTAGAAGATGCTCACTCAGCAGGAGCCCCTCTCTTTCTCTTTGCCGCTGCGTCTCTGCTGCAATGTCTTGTAAGACCCTGTCCACATGGTCATGGTTTGCATGTTTGATTTGGTTCGCTGAGCAAACCAGATTGCGAAAACATCAGTCGAGCTTCAAGAATCCAGCGAAACAAGAACGGTTTGACGGATAGCGTAACTGTAACTTGTGCATGCCATGGCTTTCACGCGATGTTAAGTGTAGGTCGGATTTTGCAGGCTAGACTAACGCATGGATGGGACAAAATCAACAAGCCCAAGCCGAGCTCCGTTTCATACTGGAAGGCGTGAAAAGGCTGTGCACGTTGAGTGAACTTGGCGTCGCTTTCCGGTCCCGAGCAGAATTGAATTTCCAATGGCTCTGAAAATTCTGTGGCTAAGGCTGGAAGCCCTCGAGACGAGAGCATGAAGGTGATGATGGGTGTGGAGAATGTCTTGCATTCCCCGTCCTTTGCCAGGATCCAGCCTGGGCTGCCCTGCAGCGCAGCATGTCTGCTGAGCCGTGGGCATAAGATGGCATAAGCACAAGCGCAGTTGTGTGTTTCAGCACGCGTTTCCGCCTGAATGTGAGAAGCAGGCTGGAAGGGATGCTGCTACGGGCTTTGGAAATGGGCGTCCAGAAGGCGCTTGTTGAGGGCTGCCGTCACCACAGGCAATTGTCATGGAGACAGGCCGCCGAGCTGTTTGGAAAGAATGTGTGCGTTGATGCTATGAGCTGCGGCGGGTGTGTCACAGAGATAGAGGCGCGATTCCTAAGCCTATGTCAAGGCACATGGTCCTGAGATATCGCTCCTCCCTCCATCTCCCTCCTGCTGATCCTGAGGCTGCGAGACTTGCCTCGATGTCTTCTTGTGGTGCCGTCCTAAGAGCATGGCAAGCGATGGCAAGCTTGAAAGAGAGCAGCCAACTCAGCAATGAGTAGTGGAATTCAATCAAGATGCGGCGTGATTTCGGCGACTTTACAAAAGCGGCATTGGCTACACCATGCCACCAGACAGCAGGAACAGCCTTGGCCTTGGCCAAGCAAGGAAGGGGCATCAGAAATGATGAAGCAGGCGAAGACGGAACATACAGTCATGATGCATGCATGCTCTGCGAGAAAAAGGGTGGATATCAGGCACCTTAAACATGCCTTACACGCAGTTTCGTCATTTGACCGCTAGCACGATTGCCGCCTCGGCGAGAGCGGCAGGGACACGCACTGCTGGAGAATGCTGGCAAGAACCGTCTCAAGAAGAGGCAGGCGCAGGCTACAGCCACAGGAGCAGATTTAAGGGAAGCTGGTGCGCGAGAAACTGGGGGCTTTGGGCAGGCGGGGCAGCAGTTCAGGGCATCCGCGGGCGGAGCAGCCATGGCATGCATCCGCGAAGGGTGGTTGGATCCAAACGCCCCAGGGCTTCGGTCTCGGCAGATGATGTTCAAATCCGGATTAAAGGCCAACACGTGCATATGAAACATGCTATGCACGATGACGAGAAAAAGGCATCGAGGCACTCCTAACATCTGGCTAACATCTGATGTGCGCCGCTAGCAACGGAAAGCCAAGCACCAAAGCATTCACCCATGACATTCGTTGCCATGGGCCGCCAGTAGAAACAAGAATAGCCAGCCAGTGACTGCCCTCGCAAATATCTGCGGATTCAGCCTATCACGAACAAGTTTGAAAGCCGTTGCTGCCTTCCACAGCAAGCCTTGGCAAGTCTTCCTGAGGATTGAGTCCGCGGATTGGCTGCTGCCTGAAGTTATGGGGTCCTGTGAATGGAGACGTGCAAGCAGAAGTTCTGACGCACAGGTTATTACGGCAACGCGGACATTATTGCCCACCTGCTGCATTTGATTGTGCAGCTTGCCGGAAGCTTAGAGATGTGACGCCGAATGGAGAGTCCAGACTGAGCCGCTGACACTGGTTGGCAGATTTTCCTGCTGAACGAGGCCCTGTATCCACGTCCTCCATCGGTGGAGCCAACTCTCTTGAAACTTGTCGTTTCTGCCTCCATGCCGCGTTTGCCAGGCTGATGCTGTACTTCAGGTTCATTCGCGCGTGGCGCTTGTTCCTCGCAGACTTAGATTTTGAAGTCTTGCCGGATACCGTGCTCGTAAGGTTCAGCACGCACAGCCGAGCAGAGCATCCAGATAGGCTCGGCAGGCATCCCCGCGAGCAAAGAGGCCAGACTTATCGGCACTTGGCGAGCGCGTGAGGCACGAAACACAAACTTGCGCAATTCACAGCTGCATTCGGTGCAGGTTCAGGTTCCATCTCTTAAAGTTCAGGCTCCTTGGCAGAAGTGGGCTGATAAACGGAAGCAATATGCAGGAGAAGGAGAAAGCAGGAATTCCGCAGGAGAAGCAGGGGAAAGTGGAAGCATCCAACAGCAAAAATCAGGGCAATGTGACGATTTTTGTTGGAAATCGGCTTAGAGACTCTTGGATCCAAGCGCTTTCAAGCGCTTGAATGTTGAATTTTTGAGACATACAAAGCCAAAGCAGACTTGCAGCTTCGGCTAGCCGAGACAAAAAGCAATGCAGCTCGGATATGCACAAAAGCTGCGGAGTTGCTTGACAAAGTGCTAGATTGCCTCAACGGCAACCCAAAGCGACCGGGCTGGCAATGGACAGCAGTGAGGATGCCATCAATCCGAGCTCCTAATTAGTAAGGGCCCCGCGGACCCCTGTAGTGAGGAACTATGATGAAATCTGTTCTGGGAGGTCTTAGAATCAACCAACTCTCCCCTCTTCAGGTTAAGAACAGCCACGTAAGACTGTCCTTGTAATGAAAACTGCTATGCCCAGTGACTCTTCTTTATGTTCATTAATAGGCACTCAGGTTGCAGAGTCCCCTGATGGTGGTTTCTAAGAGCATGGGATTGCCGTTGAGCTCCTGCATGCATCCCGGCAACAAGCATCTGTCCGTTAGCAGAAGAGTCAGCTTTCCTATTCTCAGTTTTAAGAGCACCGAGAAATCGTGTCTTCTGAAGCCTTAAAACCGTTGAGAGCTCTGGATTAAACGCTTTCCTTGCACTTTCGAGTTAGAGACTTTCGTCTCCTTAGCAAGCAGGAACCCTTCGATGTACATGCTCCTACGCTCCAAGTCTGGGCAAACAAATTCTTAAGTTTGAAGGTTTTTATGAAGCAGGAGCTAGATTCAGGTTCCTTGACACCGTTTTCTCTTGTCTGGCTCGTTCTTGGATGAAGGGCTTGCAGGAGAGCGGATGGTACGGGATCATTTCCACCGTTTCGTTTCCCCCCTAGAATCCATGTGATTTCTTGGCCTGTGGCAATTTTCTTTTTGGAGCTTAGAGTTTGGGGTCGAGGATAGGCTCACAACCCGGTGTCGAAAAATGATGCAGGATGGGTGCAAATAAGCTGCAGGGTTCGCGGCTTAGGGTTGAAGTGCTGAGTCTCTCGTTGGCCCTCACATGCTTTTTACTAACTTCTGTTGCGACAAAGCGCGAGCAATTCTGGAGCCTTCTCCAGAAAAAGAACAGCCGTTGACGAGGGACGGCTGCAGTGGCGGGGGACAGGAATGCCTCTCACAAAGGAGGAAGAGAAAGCTATAAGGGGGTAGAGGAGGTGAGACAGGTGCACTTCGAAGCACTTGTTGCCCCGATATAGCCCTATCAGGAGGGGGAGAAGAAAAGTGCCAATGAAAGGAAGAGCGAGAGAAGGAGGAGAGAAAGACAGAAAGATATGGACAGAGGGACCTCTTGCGCGACTTCATGTGGTGAGAGCTGCCAGCACTGAGCTCACGTGCCTGCCCATGCATGAGTTTTTGTGAACAGTCGAGGCAAGGTACATATCCTGGGCAGCACGCAAGAGGTGTGCCAGATCATTTGCCGAGGCAAGCCTTGGACAGCCTGGTTTAGTTGGCACTTCCCCGGATGGCGGTGCCTCTGCCAAGGCAGCGACACTCCACTGAGTTTGTCAGCAGCTGCGTGTCAGCTCAGGTGTATCAAAATAAGTCTTAGTCGCGGGGCTTAGGTGTCCCTTCTCAAACAAAAGCCGACAGATGGTCAGCTTTGTCCTTTCATCAAGCTTGTACAGACAATGTTCATGATTGAGTCCATCCTTGAAGGCCATAAATCTGAATCTAAGGTCCAAGTTTTAGGCCCTGAAGCCAGATCGTAGAGTCCACATAGAGCAAGGCCTTTCTCCGTCTCTCTCTCTAACTCCCTCCCCCCCCTGCGTCTCTCCCTGCTCTCCCTCGCTGATTGCACCGTCCTCTGCATTTGCACGCTTTTCTCCTTCTCGCCAAGTCCGCCGCCCAAGGTAGCAATGCCTGCTAATTTCTTCCTTTGTTGACCTGCATCTCTCTTGTGACTGGTAGTGGTCCTGCGGGAGCACGGAGCTGTCCGCGGTTTCCTCTGCACTTGGCGGCTTTGCTTCGTTTCCAGCGCCGGAGGTGCACGAGTTGCGGTCCTTGCTGGTGGTAGTGCGAAGATGATCTGGCTGCGTATGTAACGCTGCACACCCTGTGCCGTATGAAGTATGTGCACACGCAAGGGCTTGCAAAGCTGGCACACTTGTGCGAACTAGTTCGGAGAAGCGTCCCAAGCCCACACAGTACAAACCAGGGAGGTTGCGTGGCCGCCGTCGGGAAGTGTGTGTGCCCGCCGAAATGCAAAGAACGCACAGACAGCCGTGACGATTGGCTCATACACCTAGGACCTAGGACGTCAATGGTCTCTGGGGCACCAGCAAATGCGTTGACTCTGGCAAACTCACCGCGAGTGATTCAGCTATATTTAGCTGCAGCGATGAAAGTGGCAAGGCGAGAAGCTTGATAGGGGTTTGCGGACATGTCAACTTGAGCAAGCAGATTGCTAGACGAATCCCTAAGGCTTCAATTGCACAATTTACATAAACATATGTGAAAATCCTTCTGCATGTTGAGCCAGAAAACTGCTGTGCTTTGAAAGCAAATTACTGCTGATACTGTCTTCGCAGATTGGCTGTCTTGCATGGTGCAAGGGAATCAGGTGAGGTGCAAGAGCTAAGTTTGTAGCCCAGCCTGCTGGACACCAGAGTCTGCAAGTCCCACAATGCTTGCACATGTGGAAGCCCCAGAATTAAGGTCAGGAGGATTCGTGTAGACTATGGGTTTTGAAGCGCCTTTCAACGTGTAGTCGACTTTCTGGAGGCTGATGGCGTTGCCGTCGCTGATGGCCAAGAGCCTGCCCTAGCATCTATTGCCCTTGCGAGGCGTGGTGCATCATGGCCGGTACGTGCCCTCTTAAGGCCGAAAATCAAGACAGTGCTGCCCTAATCTCAGATGCTGGGCAGAATTTGCATCCAGCAAATCGTTCATTTGGCAGCATAACGATATAATGCCTTTAAAAACCTGGGAAGGAATTTTTTGGACACACAAAAAAGCCAAGGTCAGGATCGGAGGAGGTTGGCATGTGATACGGAACTCCGAACAGGTTGGAAGCAACCAAAGCATCGGGCCGGCTAGCTCAGCCATTGAAGCCGCAAACAAGTAATCAGAGTGCCTGGACCTGAGGCTTAGCCCGCGACGAAGCAGCTGTTCACCCAGCCGAAGCTGCAGTGTAAGCCATACCAGTGCTGGGCCTGGAATCTCAAAGTCTTAAGCTTTGACGGGGGATCTGGAATGCAAAGGCCCTGAGGGCAGTGTGAAGACAACGAGCTTGTCAAACTTGTTCCGCACTATTCACCGACACTTTCTCCTCACCTCCTACGAGATACCAAAAGATATACCTTTTTAGGGCAACTAGATCCTCTGTAGTGCTCCTGCAATCCTGTTATCTTCTTTGGTTTGCGTTTGGATTTTGTCCTCGATTGGCAATGTTTAGTCAGCTGGTTGTTGAGGTCCAGAAGAGAGACATCCATTTGCTCACGGGGCACCTTCCAGGCTTCGCGTTCACACAGTGTAATGCAGAGGTTGATTCTTCTCCAGCCTCCTCCCTGGTGCGATAAGGCAGACACCCAGGCATCGCTTCACGTTTGGTGCAGCCCTGTGAGAGTGTCTCTCTGTACGGATGCGTATGCATGTGAGCGGAGAGCACGCAAGGTGCATATGCCATCGGAGCGCAGCATGGATACACCGTGTCAAGCGTAGATCCAGCACGTCTCGCGAAAGAGGTGGGAAAGTCTGATCCTTGCTAGCTTTGCTGTTTCTCTTAGAGAATGCAGCATCAGTTTTTCTGTTTTTTTTTGCGGGTGTCATGCAGGTAAGTCGCGGGAGGCGCGGTTCATGTCATGGACCTCGTGGAGGGACATCATGTTATGTTCAGGTTGCGCCCTCGGTACGGACTTTACCGTGTGCTAAGACCTCGCTCAGCACTTGGTTCCAGTTCTTCATGTTCAAGGATAACCAAAGCTCGGAAGGGCTCTGCAGCACAAGAGCCCTCCATTTGGCCCGACTTGGCCGTCGATGAGATGGATCGGCAGCCATCTGATGATGCTGGCGAAGGCAACAGCAGTTGGAGGGTTTAGCTGCCAAGTCAGGTCAGACATGCATAGCTCGTGATCCTTCCTGCAGAAGATATTGCGACGGGGCCAGCCGATTTGCCACCTCAAGGCTGGGTGCCGTCAGTATAAAAGCCCAGCAATGCCGAGCATAGACATAGCCCGACTGAGTCCAATTTTCTCTGATTAAGGCGATAATGATGCCCGCAATCCGCCAGCTCACCACGGGTGCCTCCTCTTTTCAATGCAGATGTAGGGGATGAAGTGTTATACAAGCTTCAGGATTTTTGTGCTTTAATGGAAACCCACAAGCAGGGAACCCCAAGAATATCGTAGGAACACAACAGGAACATAAGGACCCTGGTAGGTATATTCCCAGTATTTTCTTGCAATTGTTGAGGTTCCCGGTTCGGGGTTCCCATTATAGTCCTTTTAAAGTTTTGGGTATGGAGATTGCGGTGGGCTGATGATGCAAGAGCTCCCTTGAATCTGTGGTGGTTCCTCACAATGCGTGCAACAAAGAAGTACCAGAATACCTTATCATATATGAGAAATAAAACACATCCATCAGCAAAAACAACAAATGCTTGCGAAAAGCAGCGGTATATGAGCGGTCGAGGCAGAACAAGTCACAAGAGGCCTTGACATTGCCAATGTACCTAACAAAGGGCCCCGCCGACAGCGACAATCGAAGTGGGATTAAGGTTATCTCAGTTGCCTTCCTGAAGCTTCCCCGGTTGGAATTGAATGAATACTGGAACTTATACTGGAACTTATACAAGCTAGCTTGGGACCGGGTTGATGCACATTTGCAGCAAGTACTGTGGATCAAGGCTTGGACGTGATATCATATGATGGACGAATGTACTACTGCTGTCGGCATGTGTCTGATGGTGCATGAGGCGCAGGTTTGCGTGCCCTCAAAGCTTGAAACATCGACATCTTTAAGATGGAGCGGCGCATTTTTTCCACTGGCAGCTGCTATGAGCCAAAGTTGAAACCAGGGCTTGACCCCTTTGAGAAGAACCGCGAGGGGATCTGAATTTGACATTGGTTGGCTTCAAGTGTTGTCAAGACGACAAATCCCATATGTACCTCCAGGAATTTTCTGGGGAAGCTCAGCGCCTAGGGTCCCTTTTTTTGCAACGGTGTGGCTCTCTTCTGGTCCGTTCCTGTGTCCCGTGGTACCCCGGTCACCCTGTACCTCTGAAATGTTGTAAATTGCAACGTTTGAAATGCTCCCAGACCAGCAAATGCTGCAATTTACAGCATGTGAAGCATTCCAAGATCAGCAGGTAATGGGCTGCCCCAAGAAATTCCACCCCGATGCGTTCCTGAAGCATTGTAAAAAGGAGGCCTGCGTTTTGGTCCGTGGCTTTTTGTCCACGTGCATGTACGTATGTAGTTCTGCCGCTGATGATGACGATGATGATTTCGATGATGGGAAGGCCAAGAAAAAGGTTCCCGACCGCTTTGAGGGCGACTTGTCGCGCAACCTTGCAGCCAGGCCCTTAGGTTCTGCCTGCGCATCGCTGTGGCGCCTGGTCCCAATGCAAAAGTCCGCTTAGTGAAGACGCTTGAGATGGTCGGGGACTATTTCGCAGACCTGGAGCTCCCCAAGCAAAGAAAGCTGCACAAAAATTTGTGCGCTCCTAGGCGAAAGCTAGTTGCGAAGGCGTTGCTGCGCCGTATTTTGGCACATGTTGGGTTTCTTCGAACGTAACTTGACGAAGGAAGCCGTGGCCAAGGACTCGCAGATCATTTTGGGCCAGGTTTGGGTTCCACAGCAAACCTGCGGCACGCAGCAAAGGGGAAGGCAAGCCGCGTCATCTGTGTATGTGATCTGTTGTTGCACAACGCGCGCGCGGACAGCGCGCAAAGTTCAGGATCCGCCTGATGCAGTTCGTAGTGTCGTAATGTTTGAGCTTTCCAAAGCTTGAACCCCGCGCCGCCCGTTCCCAGAGTCCTGCGGCGCAACCCCTGCAATTGTGCTTCAGTCTTGCGGGCCACGCTATTGGAAGGAGACAGCGGCAAGCCCGAGATTAATGTTTCGAAGTGTCCATAAGGTGTTGAAGTCACGGTCAGCTTGCGTTCTGCAAAAGCTTGGGCGACCCTCCCCCCCAAGCACACAATCCTGAAGCTCAATCAGTAGAAGAACTGTTGCAAGCTCCAGTAAGCCACTTGCAGGCCAAGCCAAAGGGCAGCAGCTGGCCAAGCTTTGATGCTTTGACCAAGGCCGGGAAAGGGGCAAAGTGCTGCTGGAGAACAATGTATTTTCTTCCTGGGGCCATTATGACAAAGTCGTTGCCGGGCTTCACAGCCCCTGCGTTTTTTCTTCAGAAGCTGGCTGGGCTTCAATTTTCTGCATGCTGGGGATAAGCTGGGTGCCAGACACATGTTACAGCTTGAAATGGATGTCAGGGGCAAGCTCTTCTGAGCCCGCGCTCAGGTGGATGGCCTGCGACTTATGCTTTGATTTTATGGCAAAACGTAAAGTCTGCGGATGGGCCATCCACGGAGATCGTCGCCCAGACGGCCCGGACGGCCTTCTGAAGCAACCGGTTTCTGGAAAAATGATTGCGTGTTCGTGTTTGGCCTTAGTATCAGCGATCCCACGCTGCGGTTTGCTTCTGATTTGGTGTCCTTATATGATAGCTACATATTATTGCCTAACTTCACTTTCTCACCGCGCATGGAATGTCTACAATGAGATACCAGTTCATTTGCGACAGCTTTTGTACACTTCAAATGATGTACATGAACTTCTTTCTCTCGGTTTTGAGTTTAGGCAAACGAATGTAACTCAATCATACATTTTGTGAAAATTGCATAACGTGGATATCAGGTCCTTTTTCTTGATCCTGAATCTTTCGCAGACGAATATCTTCAATCACAATAACAAGTTATTTACTAGTACAAGAGCACATGATCCCCCGTCACACGTAAGAACAAATGATCTATACGTTTCAAAATTTCAGGCCGTATATATCAGTCAATACTCACTGCGATGCTGCCTGGACTACGTGCAATCCATTTTCAAGCTTTGTTACTTGTGGTGACAGAAAATCCAGCGAACGCTTCCATGACTCGATGGCGCTGCTTAGCGCACGTTCCAAGTGTTTCCTTGTTTCATGTTTATACTAGAAATCGGCATCCTTGATTATTCTTAGCGTGTTATCTTCAGCTCAAGCATAACTTATCTGAAAAAGCGATGATAGAGGACACCTTGCGGTGGTGGTTGGTGGTGGTGGTGGTGGTGGTGGTTGTAGTGACAGCCACTGTAGTAGTACTGGCTAATGAAAAACAATGGAAAACATGTAAATTATGAAGTATTTGGAAAGATTAGCACATAATGAAAGTATTAGTAAGATTCGCATGAATAGTAACTCGATATCAAAATTAAATATTAAATAGTACTGAGTAAGTTTAGTATTAGTAATAGTAATAGTAAGTAATAAGTAATAGTTTGAAGCGTTCCAAAACCAGCAAATGCTGTAACTTGCAGCATTTGAGATGTTCCAAGACCGGCAAATGCTGTAATTTGCAGCATTTGACACGCGCCAAGACCAGCAAGCGCTATAATTTACAGCGTTTGAAACGTTCCAAAACCAGCAAACGCTGTAATTTGCAGCGTTTGCGATGTTCCAAGAACAGCACATGCTGTAATTTGCTGCATTTGAAGCATTCCAAGGCCGGCAAATGGTGCAATTTACAGCATTTGACACGTGCCAAGACTAGCGAATACTGTAATATGCAGCATTTGAAGCGTTCGAAAACCACAAAAGAGCGAGCCACACCTTTGCAAAAAAAACGCCCGAGCCACACCTTTGCAAAAAAAAACCCTCCGCCCTGTACAATCCTGTGTGCCTGAGCCAGGTCCAGCCTGAAACAGCTTGAGACTTAATCTTTGCGTGTCCACCGCGTGTGTTTCACCATCGTCACGATGGTCCAAGCCAAGTCAAAGTCCGACAAAGTCCTGCTTGGCTTCCTGGATCATCCTGGATCGGAAGAGCCGCTGTGCCAACACAGCCACCATGGAAAAAGAGAGTGCTGTGGTTTTTGCGTTTGAGGTATACCAGTGTTGAGGTCTAAGTTGCAAACTACGAGAATGGTCCATATGAGGTGCATGCCGCATGCCAACCTAACTAATTCACTGTTGCTGCCGTCCTTCTTTTGCACCTCCTGGCCCGAACGCTAAGAACTTTTGCAGCCACAAGAACAGCTGTGACCATTGTTCACCGGTTGCACGATCCCCCTTTTCAAAACTTGGGCAAAGTAAACAAACAAACACCCTAAGCAGAATCCAGTAGTCAAAGTGAGCATGCAAAATGCATGCATCTGATGCATCGACACGGTTCGTCTGTTTATGTTCAGGCAAAACCTTGTTAAGGAAAACCTTTGGAATTTCACGCCGGTGTGCATTGCATGGAGTCTGCGCAGCTTGCGGGCACCATGCTGGAACGAAAGCGGGTGGAAATTTAGTCCGCCACTTGACCCAGGGTTCTGGAGCATGTGTGTTCCGCAGCTTTGTAGAGTGTGTGTGTGTGTGTGTGTCAAGTTTCAAGATTCGAGGTTGTGCGGATGGCGATTCGGGTTTCCCTCCCTGGCCGGTCCCCGTCTGTTAGCCCATGTCTCTTCCCAGCATTCAATATTGATTTGGTGGGTGTGCACGGTTTCTTGTGCTCTCACAAAGGAGGAATCAGCCGCAGTAGTCTCCTCAGGCACCGCGTCTTCCGGGGAGGAGACTTCGCCTCAGCATTCTCTACCTTGCGTGCATGAGAAGGAGATGCGGTAGCAGAGATAGAACGCCTCATATCTCATCAGCCAGGCAGACAAAGCGAGAGAATGTGCAGAAGGCCTGTGTATGGTTGCAAGATGATGCTTATGTCATGGCGCTCGCTTCCTGTTTCGTCACATGTACTATGCTTGGCGTTAATGCTGTGAACACAATATTTCGGAATGCCCTGCCAGAAAGCATGACCTTTCCCTCCTATACTTGGGTCAATTCTCGTGCTGGATGGGAAGCATCTGGCTGTTGGGGCACATGTCGCTGGCAGCGTCATTCGCATGAGTGTACGCCAGAGTGACCTAGTGGGAGGAAGCTGCAGCAAAGAAGCAAAGTGGTGGACCTGGATCTATGAAAGTTGCATGTGTGCGGATGTTTGGAGTGTGTCCTTCTGCAGCCTTCTTTTGTCTGAGGTGCCAGGCCAGCTAAGGCGCTTGACGTCAAGTAGCAACTTGGCTGGATGCCCAGCTGCGCATGTAGAAGTTGCATGTGGAGGCCGCAGCAAAGCAGAAGCAGCTTCCAAAGAAGGACGCCGGGCGCAATAGCAGAAGTGCCGTCATCTTACTACTTTTGCGGCAGGAGCATGTCTGACACGATGCTAATGTTGCCTCACTAACTTAGGTGACCTAAGCCAAATGTGAACATGGGGGTGTTAGGCTTGAGTGGGTGGCGTGCTACGGTGTGGAATGCACGATAATGCAAGGATGGCAAGGTTTGAAGGTTACAGTAAGGATTCGGGGTTGGATGTTTCATCGCGAGGCAGGGATGGTTCAGACCAGCTTCGGCTTTAAAGCGCATAGCCCCGAAGCCACAAGCTTCAGAACTTCAGGTGAAGTTACTGCTTCACGGCTTCGGGCGAAGCCAATTGCAGGACGGACTCGGATGAACTCGAACTCCCCCCTCCACCCAGAGCCCTAGAGCAAGATCGAAGTAGATCTTGACTTGAACTCCAAGGAACTCGAACTGAACTCGAACTCGAAAGGAAATCGATTTCGGCTTCCCCCCTCCTCTGGAGTCTGGAAGTTGGCGGAACCGAGCTCGAACCGGATCTCTCCCCAATTTGAAAAGAACTGGAACTTGAATTGCGCTGGAACTGAACCCACGCCTCCCAAAGAACCGACATGCGAAGACGGTATGCGTGGAAGCACGACTCGAATGCGGAATGGCGAGGACATGCGAGGACGAGTGCCGAGGATGCTCGACGAAACAGCGCAGTCGGGATGTGTGGAATTGTGAGGCTCGAAGCGGCGCAGTGGAGAGGCAGAATGGCCAGGACGTTCCCCGCGGGAGCCCGATTGGGACAGATAATTAAGAGTATGCTTCAGTGTGATTGGGAGGCGGACTTGCGAGGACGCTCCTCGCAAGAGCGTGATGTTTAGTCAAGATCTCATAGGATGCTCCACACCGCGATAGTGCAAGCTGTGTTGGAACTGCTCCTGAACTATTCCCGAACTCGAACTGAGTTCGCCCTGCCCACCTTCTTGCCCAGAAAAGAGACCTCGAACTGAACTGGGACTAAAACTCGAACTCGTCCCATCACAGAGCCGAAGTCCGATGACAGTACACGAGGAAGCACGACTTGAAAACGGAATTGCGGGTGCAGGAAGGCCCCATGTGGTAGCACGGTCGCAGCCGGAACCGCGCGGATGTTCCAAGCAGGAATGCGAATGGGAAGGAGAGTTGCGAGGACGCTTCACGTGGGAGGATGATGGGGAGGCAAAATTGCACGGATCGTACTGAACCATCCGGAACAGTTTTTCAAGTTCCCCTGCCCTATCTGAGCATGAGCTCGAACTGAACTTGAACTCGTCAGCCCCCTCCCAAATCTTGGCGCTGCTGTTCCTGAGCTGTTCCAGAGAGTCCCCCACCTCCTGTGTACTTACTGAGCTTTAGAGCTTCAGAAGCTTCGATCGTCTATCGAACTAAACTGGGCGGTCCCTCAGATGTTCGTGAAATGTATTGCGCTCCTGCTTTGCATTTGAGACCTATGGGCTTACAAAGGTTGCCGGAAAATCGCATCTGGTGGATCTGTAAGGTGTAAGTGTTTCAGCTTCTTTGGTTGAGGGTGCTATAGGCTTGGCTTTGAGTGCCTGAGGCTGTTGCAAGCAAGTCTGACGTAGTCTTACCGCGATGGCATTCATCGTTTTGATTTTTCCGTATCGTTCCACTTCCAAGCCTTGTCGGCGGCTTGAGTGCTCTGTTCTTCAGGCTCTAAGGCAGCATGGGTGCAAACAAGTTCGTTCCGCCTTCAATTAGGGTGCACATGGATGCCCAGACTGGCAAAGGAAGGCTAGGGTGGAAGGGCCGGTTGCTGTGCCTGTCAGTTGCTTATCTAGATTCTGTCTCATCTACTTGTGCTTGCACAGTGGACGTTTCCTAGTCTTGGGGTGTGGAACAAGCTGCGCGGGAATGTTGGTTGCATACCCCGATCCATTGAGTGCATGGATCAGCGAGTCTTTGTCTGTTCATGCCATGGCGTTGCGACTCATTCCCTATGAATCAACCCCCCCTCGTGTGATGGGGTATGGATGAGTTTCTCGGATGTGGCTGAACAATTTTGAGGGTGCAGCCATTTAGTCACATGTTGATTTTTTCTATTTTTTATCATTCATTCTTGTTTGGTATGTTCGCTGGCTTGGGCTGTTCGTTCGTGGGTTGACTTCGTCTGCTGGCTTTTAGCATCCTTTCGCTACGTCCTGATCTTTGTGTTGATTCTTGATGATTCGTGGCCTGTGTATTGATTGGGCCTGCCGGCTCCATATCTTCAAGTGGCTTGTCTTGTTTTTGTCATTGTGTTGGGAGGTCAGTGGTGGAAAGGGAGGTCCATGTGGGAGGCCTGGCTCCGGGCTGGAGGCTGACTGGGATGCACGGACTGACACCCCTCTATCGGTGGGCTTCACCCACAGTTGGGCGTAAGGCTCCAACATGCTCCCAGCGTATTTTGCTGCAGTCCTAGTGATTCTGGCGGCTTCCCTGGATGCCCGGGCTACGCAACCCTAGGCTAGTGACTCTCAGTCAAGGCTAAACGCAGGAGTTGGAGAAGCCCTGACAGAGCCGGACTTCTGGGAGGCTTTTGCTACTGTGAGAAGTGTGAGAAGTGCTGCCTTAAAAAACTTTTCGCTTTGAATTGTCATTCTGGAGAGCCAAAAGCAGGAAATTATTGCGATCATATGAGGATTGTCATGAAAGGCTTTTGCCGCAACGCTGCGCAGTATGCTGCACACTTGCCATCCTGCTAGCCATACCGCAGGATGGGCCAAAGGAAGAAGAGAAGGAGGCGTTGCCCTGACCTGTTTTTGCGACTGGTCGCAGACCTACCGTGGCAAGGTGCCGGCTGAAACGCATGGCCCACAGAAAGTTGATATGCAATAGATTAGATTATAAAGATCTCACACGATGACATTTGTCTGTCTACAAAGTGCGGAGCCATTGAAGGTCGGAAAAGATGCGAGCTGCATTACAGGCCAGGACTGTTTCCTCTGGTTTCCCTCCGATTCATGGAGCTCGGTGAAGGCCTTGAAGCAGCGGCGAGCTGATCTGGTGCGCACGACATGTTGAGTTTCTCTTTTGGTGAGCTGAAGCTGAGCCATCCATTTCCATCCACCAGGATGCCGCCCATCAACAGCTGGATACTTCGAAATCACAGATCGAGGAACTGCGTCAGCAGCATTGCTCTCAGAAGTTGTCAGATAGCGACGATATTAAACCAGTGCGCTGTCCGCAGGCAAATCAACCTCCATTCCTTGCCTTCATCATGTAGGTTAAAACTTGTGCCAGGCTACGAAGCGTAAGAGCGGATCTTGAGTCTGAGCGGGCAGCAAAGGCAGGAAGCTCGTGCCAATTTTCATTCTGTGCATCATGCAAAGCCGTTTGGCTCGCAAGACTGGCAGGCTTCCGCAACTCAGCAGCTCGAGCCAGCATCTTAAAATCTTATTGCATTCTTGCAGTTGGTCTTCATTTGTCTGCCAAAAAGATGACGCGGCGTACACACTGCAGAAGGTCTGCGCTGGAGACAGTGAATGCAGAGTTGCAAGCGGCGGAGCTCGCAAAGGCACTGGGAGGGAATCTGGACGGGCGAGTTGTGTTATGGCGTTCAGTGTTTCAGGCATCCTTGGCCTCAGAGGCCATGGTTCTCAGGAGTCTAGGGACCAGGGTCGCAGACGGATAACTCCTTGCAAATTTGTGGAACTTGAGGAGCCAAGAAAAGGAGCGCGCAGCTGAAATCGAACAGCTGCAGAAGGCCTGACATCGAAGTTGGGCTTTCTCCACTGCTGGCAAACTCGAATCACCAAGGTTTGCGCTGAGTCAAGAGCATTTCAATCTGAGTTGGGCCAGGTCCGTCACGGTCTTAGATGCTAAAGTGAAGTGCTGAATGAGGGGAAACTATGTTCTCTGGCCACAAGCATTCTCTTCAAAGGCTCTCAGCTAGAACGCGTCCGCTTCCAAGTGTCAAGCAAAACCTTGCACCAGCAGATTTAAGAGACTCGCGGCTAGCGGGTGACGTAGACGGTGCCCTTTTCCAGGTGTTGCAAGAAAAGTCGGCTGCTGTCAAAGATGCAGAAGCCCTACGAACGCGCGGGGCCCAGAACTTGTCTGACCTCTCTCCCAATTTTTGCTTGAAAGACAGGCGAGCATCGGTGATGAAAAGTGAGTTGGAGGCAGGTTGCTGTTTTGTGCTTGAGCTGCAAAAGTTGATCTTTGACATACCTCGAAAGCTGTCTCGGACTATCTTACTGTAGCCATCATCAAATCGTGTGATCTGCCAGGCTGTGAAGAAAAGCGAAGGCAGCTTGACAAGTGAAGTCGCGCAGTCGGAAGCTTTGAGATGTTGAGCTGAGGTTGAAGCACAGTTTAATCTTGGATGTTCTGGGCTTGACTTTTCCTATGATTTCCAACTCGCTTAGAGGCTGCGTGCGGCCTTGGGAGATGCCAAAGCCAAGGACAGTCTGTTGTTTTTATCCCTCAGATGCTGTTAGGCTGCTAGTAGGGCTTCTTGCGCTAGGCATCTTCCGCAGACATGGAACTACGTGCTTACCCTACCCGGCTGAACAGAAGAGTATGTGTGCTTGGCGGGCTTTGCGCTTGTTGTGATTTTGTGCTGAGCTGAGAGGTGTGATGCGGAAGGATCTGGAAGACGCTCGAAGAGCTCAGGCCATTCTCTAATGCTCTTCCCCTGCAGCTTGGATTCCAGATCCCAGAAGGCACAAACAGAAGAACTGGTCGGGGGCTTTGAATGCGTAGCCGTCAGCTTGCGCGCTTGCCGCTGCCAGTGATTCCAACCAAAGATGCCGCCACAATTTGGTCACAACATGCTTCATGTGAGAGTCAACAAAAGTCTCTGGAAATCTCTGGAATCTTCCTACACAGATTTAGCATTTTAGCAAGGAAGATGGGGACGGGTCGCAAGCAACTATGCGTGATTTCACGTCAGCGAACGCACGCAGATATCCGATGAGACCAATTGGCTTTTCCCACTTCGGAGATTGTCAGAGACCTCTCCAACATGCGCAAAAGGTAGAACTTCCGACGTGTGAGCGAGGCCTGACATGAAATCAAAACTATTGTCCACATGTTTGACTGCACATGAACTGTGCGCATGACTGACTGCACATGTCCTTGCAACTGTCAAGCAACCTACAAACGAACTTGTCCTCAAGAAATCGTTCGAGATCGGCAGAAAAAAGGCTGATGCTTTGTACAAACAGGTACACATCAGAGCGTCCCCTGATGCTTTCCCTGTGGTTGCGTAGTTTCGTAGGACCAGTTGTGTGGCCCTGCTGAGAGTCAAATCTGAGCTTCCACATTGTCAACATGTCCCCTGTGAGATTCCCAAAAAACACTTAGCTTTGGGCTTCATCTTTTAACCCAGGGTAAGTGATTGTGGTAAGCACGCAAGTAATTACAAGTAGAAGGTTCATAACTATGCCCCCCCCCCTCCGCCCACACCCAAAACTTTCCACAAAATGGCTACAAGATTTTTGCTCAAAAGCGGGGAAAGAGTAGTTTTCTGCACTCAAAGTCTGCTCCACCAAGCCAAATTGCTTGAGCAGGTGCCTTCAAATACTGCCTGGGGGTTGGGGAAAAGCGTCCAACTTTCTTTGGAGATTGCAAGCTGCGACCTAGGTCACCCATGCCAATCTCAGCATGTAGGTTTACGGGTTTGCCCGATCGTATGGCAAAGAGCTTCCTTGGCGCGAGCTTTGTCACAGGACCGCGCGCCCCCTGCAATGTAAAGGCCGTAGAATTGGCAAGCAGGGGGTGCAGACTCACACACAGGCCTGATGCCCTGATTTTTTGTGATGTATGCTTGGGCATAGTCGTACATTGACACCATTTTGACAAATCAACTGGCATTGAATGGCCGCAGGTTGATCCTGCAGTGCTGCTGTTTTTAAATCAGGCCAGACGGACTACGACGGCTGCAGCAGAGGCTTCGAGCGGTTCAAAGGCCAGCTGCTTATCACCAACTCCATTTCCCCTGTTGGGCAGGCTCGAAGAGCGGGCCTTCTGGTTGCAGACCCCCTTGGTGCTGAAGTCGAGGATTGTGGGTTGATTCCAGCAATCCCTTTGATCCAGCACAAGCTCCGAACAAATCACAAGGCTGCGTGGAAGGCATTGGTCGGGTCTGGCCTTGACAGGCCGCACCTTCACCTTGATATGCCGCAGCCAGACAACCCTGAAGCTTCAGGCTACAGCAAGCTCTTTTCTCGGCCGGCTTGCTGCAGGCAGGTGCGGAAGTTCTCTGCAAGAAGCAAACTTTCATTTTTGCGGCAAATCCTCCAACAACGGTTTGCGTAAGAGAGGGTGAGCCCGGGAACATTTGCAAGACCTTCAAGACCTTAGCCATTAGCGGTCCAACACTGCCGGCCTCCATCATTCCACTTACCGCATGAAAGCATTGAAGCAGCATGCTCGCCTCCAAACGGGACAGTTGCAATGTGCACGAGAAAGCACCTGTGTTGTGATCCCAAACCTGCTTCGGCAGCCTCGCTGTATTGAGTGGCAGGGAGGTGGCATTGTTGCGGGTTGTGTGGTACGTGTGCAACTCCTCGAGAGCAGTTTGTCATCTTGGGGCTGGGCGCTGGGGTATAAGTTTGCAAGAGTTGCTCCAGCAAGCAAAGCATGAACGAAACATGTTGCGGTCACTTGCATGACACAAGTCAGCCGGAAAGCTTCTTTGTACTGACAGCAGCATCTACTCCCTCAATTGCCGGCCACGCCTTTCATGTGCTCTGCAAGCTTCTTCCTTCATCAGCCATCCCATCGACATGGTCTTGTAAGTTCCGGGCCTCTTGCGTCCATTCTTGCTGCAGGCTGCTTGCCAGCCATCTTCCGGCAAGTTTGGTGTAAGTGATGCCACAGACATCAGCCTGCAGGTTGGGAGGTTTGATGACCGAAGTCAAAAGGACAAACTCCTGCGTTCTTGCACAGGATGTGTCTGCTGCACGGAAGCCCAAGCGTGAGCGTGAAGAGAAAGGCCTCAGCGCGCTGGCGCAGTTTCAACTCCACAGAGAACCGAAGTCAGGTGAGCGGCGAGATCGAGCGGACAAAAAGGACAAGAAGGATTCCGTAGGTAAGAAAGCCAAGCGGGATAGGAAGGCCAGGCAACTGAGGGGCCACCACCTGTGATGCCGTGATAGAAAGCAATTGCGAACTATCTCAAGTGTCTTTAGTACGTCATGTCGCATTGAAGTCAGGGAAAGAAAGAGCGAAAGAAGGATGCGGAGGATGTAGCATGACCAGCTGTGCTGCTTCCTTCACTGTGAAGATGATGGCCAGGAAGGCAAGGATGTAGACGATCCTCGCGCAAGCTGCTCAGTGGTCGCATCTGCACGCCAAAGTAAGCTCAAATTAAGGTTGTGGTCCTGCCATGACTGTCCAAGGCTTCTCGGCGCCTTCAAGCCGAAATGCAGTGGCCTCATGCGGTGCGCTCGTTGAGCAGTCTTTCATGGACTTCGCGCCTTGCAAGCAACACTTGCAACACTTGCACGTGTTTTCGGTTGCTCTTGCTGAAACTTTTGTACGTTGACGCAACGCCAGGCATGTGCTAATTATGAGCCTCTGCCAGGCTTTCTCAGCGAAGCCCACTAGTAAGTAAGTAAATTGCATCTTCCCAGTGAGTAAGAGGTGCCCGTCCACGTGCTTCTTATATCTCATTTTTTAGGTAATGGTAATAGTTGTTCTTCGCTCTATTGCTTTTTTCACGCTTGCTCCCAAGCTCGCGTTTCTGGATTTCAGACATTTCTTCTGCATCCAGTTTTCCGCAGCATTTGTTCAGCTGCAGAATGCCAATCCTGAGTCCTCCCGCGTCCCACCAGTCAGCTTTCACCAGCACTGCCAAAGCCTGCTACCGTTGTTCAGCTTTCTGCCCGATTGTTTTCTCCGTGAGCTTGTGCTACCGCCGCATTAGGTCTAAAAGATATCTAAAGCTGTATCTAAATATGCCATTGCCAAGGTCTGGGAGTTCCTCTAATTCCGATGTTGAGGTTGGGCAGTTGCACGGCATCGTCCCTGTCCAAGATAGAGAAATTTAATGAACAATTTGTTTAGCGGCGTGTCAAATGTGTCAACTCAGGCCGGCCCATCGATCTTAAGAGCTGCCTCGGGCCACGCGGGCCACAGACCAAAAGGTGACATTCCCCTGTGAACCTGCATCGCATCGCGTCGCTGTTGGTGGACTCGTGGCTGATTGCAGGCAGTCGAAATGTGTCTTTTACCGTTCCCAGCCAGGCGATGCTGCTTCCAGCATTTTATTTTCAGTTCGGTGAGCTTGCGCTGCTGCAGGTCGATGTTGTATCTTACCGTGCTTGCGGGGAAGCCCTTTGGTTTCCTAACCCCCAGTCCAACGTCTTGCCGCGAGCTGGGGACGCTGAAGCAATGCAAGGGGGCGGGTGCGGTGCACATGAGGGAAAGAACAGAGTGCACAATGCGGACGTTGGGCGTTCTCTGAGGTGTGAGCGGTGCAAGCGTCGGGTGCCTCAGAGGCCTGGCTGGCGGTCACACGCATGAGAGGCTTCTTATTCTTGGTGTTGTTTTAAGAGCTGCAATTGCTCATGTGTCCTGGCCCAAGCATCCTGTGAGGGGGCAAATCATGTTGGCCATGCATGAAACCTCCAAGTGTTCCCTGAAAACCGTCTGCGATCTCAAGCAGCAACGTGGAACTATGCAAGCACAATGTTATGTTATGTTTGGGGCCGACTGTCGCCACAGTCCGTATTGAGCCGATCGAATAACCAGTCAGGTTGTGACATGCTGTGCAAGTCGCACCACGCATGTTAGTGAGCCCATCTGGCTGATGTGAGGAATTCCGCTTCTGACATGTTACATATACATTGTATCTCGGTCTAGGGGCACGTGTTTGGGAAGGGAGAGCGTGTAAGGGATGTGAAGGTTTGATGCCGACAGGATCCGAAGGCTATTTGCAGTAGTTCACTCCCTCTCAGTGAGCATATGTTTTGGGTGGTGAGCCTGTGTGATTGAGTGAAGTTTCATGTTCTCGTGTTTCGTTGGAAGCTCTTAATGCATGAGTCCTCCGACGACTATGCCCTTGAGGAGTTCCGCGTTCGTAGGTCGCAGTCCTTGCTTTTGTGGTCTGAGACCACTGGCCACATACTGACACATGTTAAGAACTTGTTCATTTTTGGTCTTGCTGTCGATTCGAATTAAGTGTGGCAACACACACTGCTTGCTCAGGCGGGGCTTTCGCCCTTCCTTGCCATGGGCACTCGTTGATTCATGAATGCAGCTTGAGATGAATTTGGGTAGCATGACGCAACCATGCGAGGCCTTGCGGCAGCGGCACTCCAATTCACCACAGGTTGAGTCACATCGACGGCACCATGCTTTGCGCATCGTTGCGCCTGCACATAACATTAGGCCCTTAGGCAGATAAATTATTGCGGACAGTCAGGAGCACACAGCTCCGAGTACTGAGTACGCACCGCGCATGTAAAAGGCTCCCGGTCAGCGCCCTAATGCGCGTGTATGAACCCCAGCGCAGCACTTTCTTCAACAAATGCTGGGCTTCTTTTTGCGCCACAAACATGACTGCTTGGATGCTGAACCATAAAACGTGCATGCTAGTTCGGATTGATGACCTTTACAGAATGTTGTCGAGGGGCTTTTGTTTCTTGTTTGCTGTAAAGAGAGCAGCCGGCTGCTGCAGAGAATCCCGCAGAAGCAGCAACGACCAACCGTAGCAAAAGCCAGGGATATCGTGGAGAAGTGGAGCACCAGTGGCAGTTGCTGTTGGAGTCACGGCTGCTTCTGTCCTTGTCACAGTTACTTTTGCAATGCCAAGACGAAGTCGCAGTATGGTCACGTGTGCGCATGCATGCCCAGAGCAGATGTTTTCCCCTGATGTTAGTGTTGTCTGGCAGGCTTGGCCAGCTTCGAGGAGGAAATGGCAACTCTTCATTCATGTGTGACGAGTTCTTCTGCCATGCGCCAAGCAATGTTTGAAAAAGAATCCTCAAGCTATCTGTCGATTGAGCTTTTTTGGTGGCCTGAGGCGATGACTGCTTTGAAAAGCTGACGCTCTCCAAATGATCTTGCCACGGAAAAGGATGTAGAAGCTCCAATGAGGTCAGGGTAAGTGATGTAAGCCCGAAACTGTGAACGCTTAACGCAATTGTTCGGCACGTATTGTTGTCTTTCATACCGCCGTCGCAAGATGCAAGCAAGGTAGGACAATCACCAAATGGGCTGGGTTTTCTTTCCGGACATGGCCGTACAATTGCCTACGGTTTGGCTCTCACTGTGTCAGCCCCTCCTGCAACTTGAGTCTCATCTGAATGCGCACGCCCGGCTGCCAGTCCTCAAGCTTTTCGAATCATAGTCATGCATATGTGGAGCGGGAGATGAAGTCAAGCAACACCTTGCAGGAAGTTGCAGGTGCAGGAGTAGTGTATGGAGATGCGAAGCGCTCGTGTGATCATCTAAGTCGACATAGCATCCATGGCAGTTATCTAGACATGCTTTGGATTTGGTAGAGCTCTGCCTGCAGGCATCCCTTCACCTTGTTTGCTTTGAGCTGAAATCTACTTTCTGCCTTTGTGACCTGCCAGGGGCAGTGGAATACATATGATCTGTGAGATCTTGAGTCCGATATGACTAAGTCGTGGGAGCCCTATCAGTTTTGCTGCATGCTGAGTTTTTTTGTGCAACTGGTTTCCCGACCAGTTGTGGCACGGAAGATCTTTATTGGGCTTTGGCAGCCAGAGTTGAAAAACCAATCCTTGCTGGAGACGATCTCTTTGCTGTTTCGATACGATTCCACATGAGATCCTGTTTAGAATTATTGACGAGATGGGTTTGTTCCAACACAGGCTTAAGCTTCTTAAGCCCATCATTGGAATGTACGGCTGCCTCAAGCGCCGTTGGAAATTGAGTACCCGTGCTGTTGGTGAAGAATGGCACTGCACAAACAGAATCCTGCAGGGATGAGGGGTTTCGGTTTTACTACTGAACTGTCTCGTCACTTTGTGGGTGCAAACTGTGTCTTCTGAAGCTCCTGTTTCAGCTTCAGTCAAGCCGGAGGCTATGCAGACGGTATTCATGCAGTCTCACGCGCAGTATCGGGATTCCAGATATTCGTTGACAGCACTTCCAAGTGCGCCACCTTGTCAGAGCAAGAAATCAGTCATGACAAAAGCTTCACGTTTGCCATCACGCCAGCACAACGTCAGCCGTTGGCCAAGGTTAAGTTGCGCGAGGAAAAACGTAGTGTTCGCAACAATGTTGACATTTTGGGGGTCTCTCTGGTCATGTCATAAGCAAAGTCTGGTAAGTCCAGCCGAAGGGCCGAAGCGATGAAGGGAGAAAGCAAAGTCAGGAAACGTCTGCAGCGTTTGCAGTATTCCCCTCCGAGGAAATTTTGGCAGGTGTTGGTGACATTTCGCCATTAGTATACGGACAAACAGGGAAAAGCCGCCCAGACTAGCTTCACTGTGTGGAATATGGAAGGTCCCGGTAAGCTCACTTGTGCGGAGGTAGCCTGTACCTTGTTTCTTCAGGACACAGTCACGGACTACAGCTGTTGCAACGCACTGTGTCGTAAGCTGTCCAAGCCTAGCGAGGCTGCGCAGGTGGCCAAACAGAGTTGGTCCTTCAGGGAAAACTTGCCGTGGGATAATGTTGGACCTCCTTTATCAAAAGGGTCCCCTATAATGAGTTTTGGGGCCCGCCTATTCAGGATCAGGGCAATGATAAAACAAGGCCCCCTATAACGAGTTGTGATTTTGGTACTCTAAAAATATCGGAAGGATTCTGAACAATGCCTTGTAAATCAATCCGCAGGGACCTCAGAACCGTGGGAGCTCAGGGGGACATATTGAGGATCACTAATTTCTGTTTTTTTGGAGGGCCCTAATGTTGGGGCGGGGACCCCTACTTATTAAAGAGGGTTCAACATTAGTTTTGAGGTAGTGGGTCCCGTCACTAGAGCGCATCAACTTTTCGGGTCCTGTGGCTGGCAATGGCTGAGGCTCAGGGAAGTCCGCACGCATACCAATAAAGTGTTTCCGTGCCTAATCCGCACGACGGCCGAAAAGTAAGCATCAGCGCGAAGCTTCAACATGAATTGCATGATGCCATGCTCCGCCGTGAATGGCGGAATGCTGCCCAACGTCGCAATGACATGCAAGGTATCCAAAATGGTCTTGACCGCGGTCACTGCATGATGACCCCGTTGATTCGGCCCGTTGATGGAGATAATGCCGATGATCCTGATGGAGATGGCTGGGACCAGTTGTTTCGCGAAATGGCAGTGTGCTGTGTGTAAGAACACCACAGTGCAAAAAATATCCCGCGTTGTGACAAAAAAACACAAGTCGCTTGCAAAAAAGATGGGATGAACAGAGGCACGCTCTCACGTGGAATGGTGACGCTGAGAGTTGCATCGTGTGTTCACTATGCACCCGCAGATGGCCTTATAAGGCGGTCGAAGGCCATGGAAAACGCAGATTTACCAAACCTGCCCAGGAAACGCGAAGATAGTTGATCCACGACGTCAGACTTTGCGCAATGAGATCTGCGGAGCCTCCACTGCGCATGATGTGCTTGTGAAGCCCGATTCCGATAAGGTTGAGGGTCGCAAGTGCCCTCTCTGCACCGCACACATGGACAGCTATGGTCAGAAAACCGTGCCGAGCCATGAGCTCGCAGCAAGCCCATGCACAACAGGAAACCCGTGAAGGTAGGGGCCGTAGTGCTCCAAAGAAGGCAGCCAAGCCTGTGCTGCGTCGCAAGGTGTGGGCAGGCTTTATGCAGTATGATGAGGTTCTCACTTCATGACAGCATGCGGCGAGGCTTTCAGAAACTGTGCGTGACGGTCTCTGCTTGCCTCAGCATCCCCAAACAATACCTTTCTGATTCACGTGTGGTTTCCGATTGCAAATTTTCGCCGAGGATATATGTGATTTCGCCTAATGGGCAGCAGCAATGCGCTGGTGAATACATGCGCATGGCAGTTACTGCAAACGGCCATTCAGTGCCCTCCTCGTTCTCCGATTCCATGCCGCATCTGTGAGAATTCTGTTGACCTTGCATTGCACAGGTGTGGGAGCAGAAAGAAGGCAGCTTCTGGATGTATACAGGTCGGTGGGCCAGCCTCGGGCAGAGATAAGCAAGACTTCCTCATCTGGCTTACCGGCAGGTTCGAATGGTATGTGGATTGTAGGTGGACGAGATGCAAAAGAGAAAGACTTCAAGTGCTCCCACGGCTTGATCTTCTGCAGAACGGCTCCTAGGACCAAAGAAGATGGACCTTGTTTTTAAGCTCTTTCCTGTCGTCGTGGCGAAGCATCTGCCAACTTTCTTTTGCCAAAAGCTGTTTTGCCCAGGTGCAACCGGATAAGGCTGAGGTGCCGCCCGATAAGATTACTGGCGCGCGCGGCCTAAGTGCAAACAGAAACACACTGGCTTTGCTTATCTCTAGATGTTTTGTGCAAGCTTGGAAGGAGTGCTGGTGTGATTGCGCGCTGTATTCCGCAAGCTGTACGAGGTTTGGGAAAGGCTAAGCGGTGAGCACTTCATCGAGGATCCTAGCATTGTTGCTTGACACTCAGTGTGTCTTCTACATGCAAATTGTCAGCTCCCTCATCTGAAAGCAGCGAGCAGATGCCTGCTGGCATCTGATTAGGTCACCAGTGTGCTGCATAAGCCGTCACCGCTCCGGGTTGTGAGCCCGAACGGACAGCAGAGGTGTGCAGGCGAGTACGCAGAGGGCTCAGCATGGCTCAGCAATCCTGAGCTCGCAGCCGAGAACCTAGTTACAGGTCAATTCTCCTTCTGCCGAAAAGACTGAGGTATTGATCCCTGACTGCACTGCGAACGGCTTGCCCGTTTGGGAGCAAAAGGCTGCAAGGTGCGTCATGCTTCTTGCATCTTTTTGTTTTCTCCTTTTTTTTGTGTTGTCCCCTCCAGTTCCCAGCATCTTTTTGAATCATTGCTTCCGTGCAGGTGTTATTTGTACTGTGGGACCAATGGCCGCTCCGCCAAGTACTTGGCGCACACGCGCACGCGGGTGTGTTGGATTGTGTGTTTCCATCTTTGTCTCTAAGAGCAACATTTAACAACATGCAGGAGGGCAGGACATTCTTAACTGCCCAACAGCGACGCTGCATGCTAAGTGATGCTGGTTGATGATGAAACAGGGGACTAGTGCCTGCAAAAGGCGATTTCCTGTATTCTTTAGAGTGCAGTTGTCTGCGGCAGGGAAGCCTGTGACGTATCCAGGGGTGTTGTTAGATCCTGCAAGAGAACGTCAGATCCGAAATTTGGAAGATGTATTCCGTCGAGTAGCCCATTTCCGATGCTTGCTGCTAGATTCGCTAGATGATTTTCAAGATGCTTTGGAGGCAACTGGCGTCATAGTGATTTTGCCTCCTCCAGCCATCCAGATTTGCAGTTGTGCTGTCATCGTATAAGTGTTTGCGACGTAATCAAAGTAGTAGTAGTTATGTCGTATCGTTGGCAAGCTGAAGCAACACGAACTAGAGCAGCGTCGTAAGCAGAATTGCCTGGCAAGGAATCACAGGCCGGTTAGAAGACAGGTTGCTGGCTTTCAATGTTCATCCTGCTGTGCCTTCTCTGCAGCTCCACAAGCATGATGCCGTGCATGGCATATCATTGCATGGTTTGTCGATATTTACAGACATGGTCCCTTTTGTTGGCAGCGCTGCTGCAGGCGTCGTTGCTAGACACCTCAATCGAATTGCAGTTTTCCGCAGGCTCTCAAAAACACAGACAGTCGACGCAGAGTTGGCATTGCGGCACCGGCGCGCCATGAGGTTAAGCAACTTCAATGGGCATTGTAGCCTGTTACCATTTAGCTGCCATGCAGACTCACGCTTGGGCCATGGAGCAGGAGCTGATTGCACAGTGGCAACCACAGCGTACACCCCAGAGCCATGCAGCTGTTGAAAAAAAGTCAGCGCCAGGGTACACAGCAAGCCTGCGCAAGAGTCAGGCAACGGTCTTCAATCATTTGTGGCGCAAACGCTGTAAAAGTCTTTCCTTGCAAGCAGTCCTAGACCTTTGTTTTCGACGAAGACAAGGCTTGGAACCTGCTGTTTGATTTAGCTTCAGCGTCACACATCAAAGCTGCCTTTGTGGCAAAAAACCCTGTGCTCCGGACCCGTTGCAGATGCAGAGGTCCATGCCGTCATCCACTCAAACCCTAACATTCAGCAAACACATCTCGCTGACGTCACACATGAGCGCTCACATGTTTTTGTTTGTTAGTTTGTTTTTAAAAGCAGAGTGTGCGATGCCTTAACATCCCCCAAAAGACCGCCAGGCTGTGAAGGCAAAAGATGCCCCACAAGTTTCACCTAAGATGTTACCACATCTTCATGTGCCAAAGACAGTTTTTTTCCATCTGCAATTCACGTGCCTGCAATTTGGCGAACACGTGCTCAACTTTGCCGCTGGGTTGCAACCAGGGCACCCCCTTCTGCCTGATATTCTTTATTGTAATCAGATTGCCTGTCCTGATTCTTCGCGGGCTGGAGAGACGACCATGGACGCTTGCTGCGCAACCTTTCCTGATGATGTTGTTCCTATTCCGCGGGCAATCCCACACATGCACTGGGTTTGGACACTTAGACACAAATCCAACGAAAGTCGACTAGTGATCTCTTGTGGATGTATTGGCTCGTCTTCTCCAGCCCTCTCCCGCAGCCAACGTTTGAGGACAAGGGAGGAGCTCCAGTGTGTAGTGTGCAACTGCCCAGAGAACGCACCGAGGCGTACATCATGCTTTCAAGACACTGATGCATCACGGTAATCCTGGTGCCGTGTCGCACGATTTGTCGGAGCTAGGTGAACAGCTTGCTTAACATACCTGGCCCGGACAAGGTCATCAGAACGATCCATAGTGGACTGGAACAAGATGCTGAAATCACGGATGATTCCATTTGGTAAGAAGTCCAAGCAGATGCTCCCGAGATATGTTGGTGTTCCCGGTTGGTCTGCGGTTAGCATGAACACCGGCCCTCTCTCCAAACTTGTCTCCCAAGCATGCGATATGTTTATGATGTTTGTGTGCGTGCTTTAGTTGCCACAGGTTGTGTCCTGTTGTGTTACCCTCTGGCAGTAAAAGTATGGCTTCAGAAGTCGCAGTGCTTCACCCACCCATCCATCCACCCAGCCACCCTGGTTGCTGAGTAACTGGGTTGTTGGGCGGGGCTTATGTGAGCCAGTTGGCTCTTGGAGCGTTGCCGGACATTCTGCAGAACATAGGCGCGCCACTTTGCTGTTGAGAGTTTAGGCGGTTTAGGGGTAGGTTTGGTGTAGAGGTGGAACACATCTGAGGGCAGGCTTCCTGTGTCTCACAGGTGTTGCCGCGATCGAAGACCTGCAGAGGCCGAAGGCAAATCGCTGTGATGAAGGCCCAAACCCTCCAGCAGCCCCAGCCAGCAGGTACAACACCCGCTGCCAAGTTGTGCAACATGACACAAATCCTGTCATCGAATAGTTGCGGCACTGTCACGCGCAATCCTGGGAGCTGTTCAGCCGCTGCTGCCACAATCCCCGTGTGATCCCTCTTCTTGGCCTGTGTCTGCGACACCGACATGTTGTATTTGCGAAGGATGGTCTTGTGCAGAGCTGAATCATGGCGTGCCTGTTCTAGCAAGTCTAGTCACAAGAGGCCGGTTTTGCCAAGGATGGGCAGGACATCCAGTTGACGCCCAAAGCATATTTTGCCCATGCCACCACGTCCCGCCCGAGAGTCTTAGAGCCGCTCAAAGCATTCTTATCACCGGGCACCTTGGCCAGGTACATAATGATAACATAATGCTTCTAGAAAGGGTTCTCGTGCTAGCAGCGGTGTTGTGAAAAGGTGCGTTGCAAAGACCTGAGGCTGGAGGCCCGTCCGGTTGGATGGTTGTTATTTCCTGCTCAAAAAAAAGCCCGAGCTTTTGGCGGTTGTTGCGGGAAGCTGCTGCTAGCCTGAGCTTCTAGGTCTCCCATGATGCCGACATGCAGCTCTGTTAGGGCAACACGGAATTTCAACCGTTTCGTTGGTTTAAGAGGAAAGGGAACAGGAACTGCTTGGCTGAGCGAAGCTTGGGCCTGTAGCTTGGAGTCGAATTTCCCTACTGCCGTTTGTAAATGTCGTACCTGACAAAATCTTGGCTTGCGAGCTGAGCGAGAGACATCTTCATTTTAGATTGTAAATGTTAAATCATTGCAGCGCTGTAGGCAGCGGCAATATCTTGTGATGACAAACAACGGTGACCTCATGAGTCCACGCGGCAAAGCGCAAGAGAGCTTGTTTTCGCTTTGTTGGGACATGGCCACTTGTCATGCCACTAGTTGCTCATTCGGTCGCCGGCATTTGGGCAGCTCCACTGACCAGCCGCAGGACTGACGCAGACCCACTCGAGGCCTCTTTCCGCATGTCTCATGTTAGTATGTGCCGAAACGCAAGCAAGGGCAAGTTGAAAGTCACTGCGTGCAAGCAGCGAAGTCCATGCGGTCGTCCGACAACCCAACGCCCCCAAACACCACTTTGACATCCGAGTTGGCATAAGTAGGGACCCCAGCGCCACAAGCTTGCACACCCAAACTCGAGAATTGACGACAATGCAGTCGGTGAAATGAATGTTCGCACCACCAATCAACACCAGGATGTGTAGCAAGCAGGATTTGGTGCTCGTGGCATGAAATGGCTTTTTGAGACTCTGTGCATGATTTCGAGCACCTACGGCAGGTGCCAACAAAGATACGCAGCATCCACAGCTCGTGATATCAACTTCGGACGCAGAGTTGACGTACCAACCATGGTTTTTTGGTACAGTGACTGCTTTAAGAAACAGCTACGCTCAGACCAGGGTACCCTGAGGATCCCCACTTAGCCACTGAGCTGTTGAGGGATTCTCGTTTTCAGGGGCCAATTGCCTCATAAATAAGACCATTTGGCTTCTCAGAGGGGTCAGATTTCAAAAAAAACAAATTGGGAAATGGAGGGGCTCGTTTTCTTAAATTTCAGAAAACGAGTCCCTCAATTTCTTAATTTGGTGTTTTTTGAAACCTTTCAATTTTTGATTCAAATTGAATAGAATTGGCCAGGTGGTATTTCTTATTAGAAAATGCAGCAGCGCGGTATTCCTTGTTAAGAAATGGAGCACCTGTGGTATCTCTTATTAAGGAATAATGGAGCAGCTGTGTTTTTTTTTTACAGATTGAGCAGTTATGGTATTTCTCATCAGAAATGAGACATTTCAAAAACGACCAAATTACGAAATTGAGACCCTCAATTTCTTAAATTTAACAAAACGAGCACCTCAATGTCTACATCTTTTTTTGTGGAAATCCATTTCTAATCATTTCTATAAGGGGCGGAGACTTCAATTTGAATCAAAATTGAGAGATTTCAAAAGCGGTCAAATCAAGACATTGAGCCCCTCAATTTCTTAAATTCAAGAAAACGACCCCTCAATTTCTGAATTTGTGGTTTTTCATGTCTACGGCTAGTTCTATTCAATTTTATCCAAAATTAAGAGATTTTTAAAACGGCCAAATTACAAACACAAACTAGATTAAGAAATTGTCTCCCGCGAGGTCAGGGTACCCTCGATTTCTTGATTTCTGTTTGCATGTATTCTCGAACCAAAATATGTATGCGCGGCCGCACAGGGGCACAGTGCTGTTGCTGTAATTGTGTTGTACCGAAGTTGTGCATAGGTCAACTTTTGATCAGTGCCTTGGTAACTGCTGTGTCGTTTTGTTTGCTCAAGGCTGTTTAATGTCATTGACATAATACGCTGTGAGTTGCATATATCCAAGCCGTTTAATCATACCTTTGCATGTCCTGCAGCTCCTCATAACTCGGGTACATACATGATTGAACAGTGCTGCCTATTAGTTGCTAAGAGTCGCGGTGTGCTTTGGATGCGGGCTTTCATTGTCTGCCCTTTGGATATGGACATGGAGCACATCCGCAATGAAAATGCCTTGGGCGACGTAAAGCCTGCAGCGGTGCTGCCTACTCCTGAACTACAGTCTAGACTTGTGACGATGATCCGGTGACGACCAAAGAATCAACTGCTCCTTCAAATCGTGGTGTGCTCGGCATGCCAACATGCGACGCCATATGCGGGGGCCACAGAAAAAGTTTCATTTGGGTTTCGTTCACATCGTGTTTTGGAAGCCTGAGGAACATGTTTGATTTTTTTGTTTATCGCATTGCGCGCTTTGGGCATGCTGGTGCCTCGCCCGCCGCAAAAGCTGCGCAATTCTCTCAGGGTATGTTTGGAGATGGCAAACCGCCGCAGCCGACAAGAATGCCTCAGAGTGCTTGGTTTGCAGTATGCAATGTGCAGTTGCTTTACTGGCCAAACTGTTCATGATTTTTGTTGGGTTGTGTGGGTTGCTAATCATTACTAGTAACTGCGACATGTGGTGTCGAGTGTTTCAATCAGTGAGAAGGAAGAACAGGTTGTCCCTTGTGACGTGGATGTGACGTTCGGATCTGAACCTCAACTATGAAGATGTGCAGCTGTTCATGATTGCTGTTTGATGCTGCGGGTGGTGCTGGTTGCTAACTGTAGCGGATTGTGGTGGTTGTCCAATGCATCATAAAGGAGAGCGCTTGGTCTGATGTTCAGATAAGACTTCACAAGCTATAGCCTGGAGACGCGAACGCTTGTGGACCGCTTTGTAATGCGGGTGTTGGGTTTGAATTTATGATCTATGCGGAGCATTGCAGTGGAAGCTTGTCTCATCAAATGCCACCGGCCTAGCATGGGTTCAAAAGGGGCTTGACCATGGATCATTTTGCTGGGATTGTAAACCAATAAGTGTGTGCGCGTGCGTGTGCGTGTGCGTGTGTGTGACTTGTCTGGGCTTGTTTTTTCCAGAATTGGTCTTGCTTGGGCCAGGATCTTGGATCTTGGGTGGTTCTGATGCCAAGGAGAAAGGTTTCAAATGTGCAAAAGGTACGCGCAAAGCATGCAGCCCCAGTTTGCCAGCTTTGCACTACCAAGATCGCAGCGAGGCGTCATGTATTCCAAGCGGACCAGCGGAGGCGTGATGCCAGACAAGGCGGGAAAGATACACAGAGAGCGCTTTTTGAATCCCTTGCCCAAATAGGGATGAACCCGAGCGGGCTTTAGTATGGAACGCTTTTCGGCCTCTTGTTGCAGTCCCCCGGGATGACAAGACGTTCAATCTTTCAAGACTTGAAGCTGGCAAATGGGCAGCGTGATGGCCTGAGGTCGGTGGAGTTTGGCTCCGCCTTCACGGGGACAAATTTCGAGAAGACTCTGCGCCGTTCTCTGCAGCTTGGGGAAGGGACAGCTTGGCTTTCTGGCTTATGTTCTCATGATTCGGCCATTTGCCGAGTGAGGCCATCACCGTCACCATGAAGCCGTCACGGCTCTACGTGCAGACCCCCCATGGCCAGCACAGGCGAGACACCAGACGTGTTCCTGAACACTCCTGACCTTTCGAGGGTTGTCCTGGGGTTGTGTGGTAGTTGTGATTTGGGGTATAGTATTGCTATGTTGGGATCTCTAGGTTGGAAAACTGCTATAGAACGGCGTAAAAAGCGTCGGGGGTATAAGGGCCAGGCATTCGATGGTGGGTAATGCTCCGTGTTTGCTGGCTGTATGCCCATTCTGTGGTCCCCTTGCATCCCCCGAACTTGGGGATGCAGGTTCCAGTTCCGGGTTCCAGTGCCACATTTAGATCGCAAGCAGCTCAATGCGCCCTGCGCAAAGCAGGTGTTCGGGCGAATTCGTGCCATCAGTGGATCGCATGGCAAACGGCTTCCCGCTTTGGGAACACACCGGTGGCAAGTGCTGGCTCTACTCAGGCAGGGTTGCTAGCAGGCTAGAAGCGATGGCGACTTCTTCTTGAGCAGGCAGCAATGGAATGTGGATTATTGGTGGCACAGATGCTGCGGCCAAAGACTTCAAATGCACCCGTGGGGCTTGGTACTTAGCGCTCACCGACAGGCAGCTGCCATGTCTGCACTCTCAAGACCTTGTTTGTCCGAAAGCCGTCACTGTGTTTGTTCACGTCGGGCCCCCATGCAAGTATCGTTTATTTGATGTTTATCTTTTGTTGTGGGACCACCCCAAATGTGGGTCACAAGGAAGAGTGATACGTGTAGTAGCGTTGGTGTTCGTATTATGTTAGTCTTCGTGTAGTATTCGTATTTGCATGAACATTGGCGTCATTCGTGCTAGTAGACGTGTTCAGTTTGGCAGTAGCATCGGCAATCACGGAAGCAGCAGCAGGAGGAGGGACCCTTGACTTGAGGTTTGCCAGCAGGACCTCCCTTATTGTAATCTGGAAACTACAAATCCCTGCGCCATGAAAACGCGACTCGGCAACGCCTCAAGTAAATTGAAACCTTAAACTTTCCTAAACTAGAAACATTTTAAAGCCCTAAACACCTTGCCTAAACATCCTTAACCCTAAACAGACCAAACCCTAAAACCCTTACCCCTAAACACCCTAAACCTGAAAGCTAAGATCCCAAAAGGCCTAAACTCCAAGCACTTTAAAGCCCTAAGATCCGGAGGCACTAAACACCCCCAAGCTAAAATCCCAAAACACCCGCAAGCCCTAAACCTCAAGCGCCCTGAAGTCCTAAGCCTCAAACATCGCCAAGCCCTATGGCGTAAACTCCCATGAAACCCTAAACCCAACATGGCCCCAACCCTTAATCCCCAACCCCTAAATCCTTAACATCCCAAAGTCCCAAACCCTAAACACCCCCAAATTCTATGCATCCCCAGCCCTAAACACCTCCAAACCCTAAACTAAGCACACCCAAACCCTAAACAGGCAAACCGACTAGTAGTAAATATAAGTATAAGCAGTGTTTAGGAGTGTTTCTGGTGAAGCCACACGGATTGCGGGTGTTGGCAGTCGTGGTGGTAGTGGTGGTGGTGGTAGTGGTGGTTGTGCTCGTAGCACTGCTAGTAGCAGCAGAAGGAGGAGGAGCAGTGGTGGTGGTAGTAGTAGCAGTAGCAGCAACAGTAGAAGTACAAGCCGTAGTAACTGCCGTCGTCGTAGTAGTAGTAGTAGTAGTAGTAGAAGAAGTAGTAGAAGTAGAAGTAGAAGTAGTAGTAGTAGTAGTAGTAGTACTAGTACTAGTACTAGTAGTCGTCGTCGTAGTAGTAGTAGTAGTAGGAGTAGTAGCAGCAGCAGCAGCAGGAGCAGCAGCAGCCGCAGCAGGCAGTGGTACTAGTGGTGGTGGTGGTAGTAGTAGCAGTAGTAGGAGTTGTAGTAGTAGGAGTAGGAGTAGGAATCAGCAGCACTACTGTACTACTAACTCCTACTAACTCTAACTCCTACTCGTACTCCTACTCCTACTCCTACTCCTACTCCTACTACTAGTACTACTACTACTACTACTACTCCTACTACTACTCCTACGACGACGACGACGACTACTACTACTACTACTATTACTACTACGACGACTACTACTACTACTACTATTACTACTACTACGACGACTACTACTACTACTACTACTCCTACTACGACGACGACGACGACGACGACGACGACGACGACGACGACTACTACTACTACTACTACTACTAGTGTAGTAGTCGCAGAAGCAGCAGTAGTAGGCGCTCCGTTCCATGACCAACCATGTTCCCGGAATTCCGAGCTTGCGCATGTTGAGATCCTGCAAATGCTGCAGAACTAAATCCTCAATCTCGTGATGCTAACAGCTTGTAAATTCGTGAAATGCAGCGTATGTGGGGAGGGTTGGAGGGGGGTGCGGTAGGGAGGGGATTGAGGCTTTCTTGGAGGGGGCATCGCCACCTTGATCTGAAGTGTAGCAGCATTTGTGATGTTTTTGTGTGGGTTTGGCAAGTTCGGCCGCTGTGCCCGTCCGCACCTGACATTCAAGCGCAAAGGGTCGGTGGGTGGGGGCAGCTAGTAGTAGCCGAAGTCGAAGAAGAAGTAGTCGTAGTAGTACGACCATCAACAGCAACAACACTTAGTATCAGCGTTGCTGCCACCTTCACTATTACCACCGCCATTCACACCAGTTTTGAAGTATTAGCATTGGCGAGGCTGGCTCTAACGTGACGATTCCTGCTGTCGAATGTTTGGGCGACCCGGCTTGAATAGTTTCATGCGCGACATCACGCGTGGTTGGCATTGTTTGAAAGGGGGGGGGGGTCTCCATTAGGGACTTCCTTTGGACTACGATTCAGAGATGCCCAAGATCAAGGATTCATCAAGAATGCTTTCATTCAGGCTTTAGGAAATGTGGCAAATCTTTTGAGATTGGTGAATATACATGTGGGATATCTCTTGCAGGAACAGCAACTGCAACTCATAATCCTTCTTTTTAATTCCTAGACAACGCCATAAAATGCAATTTTGTAATTTAGGGTTTACTGAGCCCTAAACCCTGAACCCGGAGCCCTTAAACTCTAAACTGTAAATATTGTGTTCCTTTTTATTCAACTCCCGCGAAGGCCCCGCGCTGACCACATCCACGCGGGACCAGGTTCCCAGTATGGTGGGGAGTATGGGTTCAGGGCTAAGGGTTCGAGGGTTCTACTATGGCACTATGGGGAATTATGTATATATTTATGAATATATATTTATATATATATGTACACACACATACGTGCATATGGGGTTTGGGGCTGGGGTTCATCGCATTTTGCGCCAAAATTGTGGCTCAACTTTTTGGCTTTGGCTTGAACCGACCCATGGTGTTTCGGTGCTAGTAGGCTTCTGAACAGTTTGTGTGACTCTTTTTGAAGACTTCGTTGTCTGACCTGGGCTTCGTTTGGAGGGATGACATCACTAGCGAGCCTGCCTCTGCTCTTCTTAGCAGTATTTTATCATGTAACTTGTCGTTCCTGTTTCTTCTTGTTGTAATGATTGCTGATATCCCGGTAACACAGATTATTGCGAGTTTATCCTTTGAAGGATGAACTCAGTCTTCTTTTTGGGAGCGAATATTGGGTACTGAGCTGGTGGTTTGGAGCTCCGCGGTGCAAAATTTCGTGAGCAACCCCGAGCTTTATACCCTAAGCCCTACGCCATCAGCCTTCAACCCTAGACTCTATCTAGCTAGACCATAACGTCTCAACCCTAAACCTACAGCCCCGGGAAAAGACCCTCAATCCCCGAAAGGACGTGGCACCCACCCAGACGCACCTGATCGACTTATCTGCCTTGTGGGGCGGCACTGGTAACAGCAAGTACCTTCGAAAGAGTTGAGTGTTGGTAGGTTTTTGGGGTGGGTTTAGGGTTCAGGTGGAGGACGGATTATATAGGGACTACGTTGGGGTCCAGCCCCCAGTCCTCACCGGTCGCTAAGTCTGGGAAGACATAGGTCGTTACAGGGATTGTAGAGAGATGGGATTTTAGTTGGGTTTCTCAACATCATGGATCCTTTTCGCTGTCCCCTATATGGAGTATCCAGTGTTGTGTCTTTCCTCTGTGAGCGTAATTTTCTTTTTTCAGTTCTGGGACGAGCGCATTTTTGGAAGTGCATGGTGCTGTCCGTAAAGCAAGCACGGTATCCTCAGTCAGGGAACGATATAACCCCAATATATACCGTATTAAAACATAGTAGGTAGCATTTTCTTTTCCATTATCCCTATATAGCCCCTTTTATAATTAATTACTATAGTTATTATGGCTATTCATATTGTTATTACAAATTCAGTTTTTCGTATCATAATTAGTATGAATATATTGGGGAAAGAGCATTCCTAAACTTTAAACTCTAAACCCTGCCCTAAGCCCTAAACCCCAAATACTAACCCACAGGCCCAACCTATACCCTATCTGACAAACCTCCAGAAGGCCTTCCCTGCGAAAGCAGACAAGCAGCGGTTTGGGTCTGAAGCGGCTGGGTTGCTATTAAGAAACCATAATGGGTATACAGGGTTTAGGTTTGTATGCGTAGATAGTGAATAATGGGGTTTCCTTCTTGTAGTAACTCAATTTAAGTTCCTTACCAGCAACCCAGGCGGGTGCTGAAGGAAGGAGCACCTAAACTGTCGCTCCTGTCCAATGCGTTCCTCGGACTGTTGACATTTGCTTTTCCAGAAGTTGTCACTTCCAACGTCTTGCAATGCAGGATTTTGCTGGATAGCCCTTAGAAAATCCTCAAGAAGGACCCTTGTAATGCAGTGCTCCGACCACAAGTTTTTTGTATGTCTAATACAAGTCCCTTTCATTCAGATAGCCCTTCCAGTTTCCATCTGATTTTCCATGTGACTCTCCTTCAGTTCTCCATGATCCACCTCAACCCTAGACCCTAAATCGTAGCTTTCATTTTCTTTTCCATTCCTCCATTTTGGATACCCTGTCTACTAAGGAGTGGTGCCTTGGGGGATCATGCAAACAACCGATGCGCAGCTGGCATCCTCCGCGTTGTGGAGTGGTGGCAAAGGTTGCAAGAGCCGGAGCGTCACGGGTGTTTGTACAGGATTCAAGCTTCCCGATTTCTGCGTGACTTCTCGACACTGGTAATCCTTGCGAACGCGGTGTCGATCACGCTGCTTACTGTGGCTTGGCCAAATTCAAGAGCGTGCGTGCACCCGGTCCATGTTCAGAGAGACCAGGCATCACACAAAATGTGACCAGCCACAATGCAGAACCTCACCACACCCTCAACCACTGATGTCGTACAGGTCCAGTGTACCCTAATTCGTCCGGACTAGCCATGGCTTCGATCTAGGGTGTGCGGTAGGTTGGAGGCAGGTTAAGCATGATCCAAACTCGGGTTTTCCTGCGTTGTGCGGGCCGTGACCTCGTGTATCCTTTTATATCGTAAAAGGAGACTTGTAGCAAGAATGACAGACGCTGACATGGTATTGCCAATCGCGCATTCCGCAAGTGCCCGTTGCATGGCCAGCTGACAACTCATCCCCGGTATGTCTCCGGCTGAGGATTGGATATTAAAACATCCGCAAGAAGGCCGGCAA